TGCTAATTTTACTGCACCAGATGCACATTTTGACAATACATGTCTCTTCAGTGATTATCAAGGCCAAAATATTTGAAACTCAGAAGCTTATAAAAAAATAATGAAGAGCTGATAAAATAAAAAAGGTTAAAAACCTTTTTTTTTTCAAGTGGTGAAGTTGAAATCATCTCTTCGAGTTGGTTTGCTGTAATGGAATATGTGTTTCACTGATGATGATGGCTATATAACCACGATTCCGTCTTCTTTTCCTCGAATATGACCTACCGAATTAGACTTATCCCCATTTGTGTCCTTACACGAGCAGCACGACGGGTGTCAATTGTGGAATGGGATCCCCCCTGATTTTAGTGGGGTTTGAGTTGCTCAGTCTTTAGTTTTGTGTTTTGTATACTGTTGTTTATGTTTTGATCATTACTCCCCTTTTGCCATGCAATTGTCAGTTGGTTTCCGATTTATGAATTTGAATATCCTTTTGGAATCTTCCGTCTCTCTCTTAACGGCCATACTAAATTATTTGTAAAATTATCGCCATTTACTCGTGAAATCTGAAACAAGGATTCAATGTGTACGTTTACTTTTTCATCCATTAAAACTGGTTTATTTGATAAATTAGTTTACTATGTGAAACTCTTAAATCAACGATTTTATTACTGTTTGAACACGATTGTGTTACGTTTCTTCGGATATATTTGTACATTTGTACGTCAATGTCTCATTTTGTAGATTTAAAAAGTAGAACCATAGTTGTACCACAAGTTTTGTGTATATTTTCATTCATCAATCCAACAAAGTCTTCTTTTTATTCAAATAGATGGGCAAGGCGGTGACCATTTTAATCTTGTCCTATTTGTACATTTTGGAGATCTTCTTTTTGTCTTGAATTTAAATGAAATATGACCGCTAGCTATACCTTTCAACGTATATTTATTCTGCTTAACAGAAGTTCCCCTGGAAACTTTGTTATAAACAATGCCATAATATCTGTTCCTGTTGGAACAAATATTCTATACCCTTTATCCCGTCAGGAACGAATACTGTTATATGTGTTCCAGTGGAATTATTATTACAGAATATTTTTTCAAGTCGAATTAATAATATGAAGGAATTTCTATTTCACGAGAGTCATCGTTTATACTGTTCCAAATTTCATGTTTAAGTAACATCTGCAAAAGGGTCTATTAAAAAGGGTCTAGACAGTTTGACATTAAAGTCAAGAACAATCATATGAGAACGAGATAAAAGCGCCATGTGATAAAAAATAACTGACGTACAGTAAAACCTCTAAAAACGAACAATTGGCTGTGGCAAATGAAACAGAAGAGGACCAAAAACTAACACGGATTAGTACTAATACAGTACCCATAGGTAGATCGATGAAAATGATGTGGTCATTGGAAAAACTTGGAAGTAATAGAGACAATTGCTGCAGATATGAGGGACTGGAAATATATGGTTGCAATCTTACTTGGTTAGATAAAATGAGGAGGCAAATATGTAATTGTCACCAGATGTTTAAGTAACAAATAACTTATAAATCTAAATATTTGTTCATGTGTTATTATATCCATATTTATTATACTTATTCATTTCACTTGCTTGATATTTGTGCCACGAGATAGGTTATGTAATTACCTTTAAATTCATGAAGAAAGAAATAAAATATAGATTAAAAAACTGTTTGGATTTCTAAAGTTTTTGCTTGCTACAGTGAAACAAAAATATGTGCTATAATAATTTCCAGTTACAAAATATTTTAAATGTTCTATCGGAACACACCTTCAAAATACTGATAGATTTAGTCGAGGATTATGCCAGACAATGGGTTAAACGCGAGAAAGAAGGCGTATTTACTCTTTCCGAATAGATTAAGGCCTAAGGTCGTTGATACAAATCAGAATTTAAAAACTAAATGGGTATATGAATACCTATGCTTCATCAATCTTTAAAAACCAAAATGTTACAAAACACCTGTCCTACCTCCATGACACATATGTTGTCGTCCCTGCAGGTAAAGCCCCAAACAACATCGTTTTTGTGTGTAAATAACATTACATTAAATGCTTGCTGAATGAATTAGGTATTCACTTGAAAACTCAACATAAACCCCAACGACACTTACCAAGGAATAAATCCTGGATTATCACAGGTCTGTTCTATGTTCCTTTGGAATTTCAACCAAAGATAAAGACCTGAATCTCCCTTCACTGTACTGGATACTTCAACTACATAAGTGTCCTCACAAACAACTTTATATTGCTGGATTTACCCAGTGCTCCACGAAATCTTCTTCCAAATTATTAACATCGATTTTATCAGCTATCAATGCCGGGCGTCAAAGTTGCTGTGAAGCTACCTGTTCTAGAGGTGGCGTGAATCAGATGTGGATACTAAAAACTCCCAACGATCTTTGAGAGTACATACAATCTAAGACTCTTTCATCTTGCAATAGTATTAAAACATTTGAGTTTTCTACACTTTACACAAGAATTCCCCATTCCAAACTAAAAGACAATTTGAAAGAGTTGGTCCTGCTTTGTTTAATAAAAAAAGAATGGTCTATGTAGATAAAAGTGACTTGTCTTAGTTGTTACATATTTTTATGTCCGTGCCTTTTATCCACTTCATTTGAAATTTGGTGGATAGTTGTCTCATTGGCAATCATTACTCATCTCCTTATTTTTATATAATGAAGGAATAAATCGTACTTTATAAAAAAAAATCACTCTGATTCGAACAAAAAAATCTCTGAAACTGATATTATCAAAATGCTTGATTTCTTGATTGACAACATATTTGTTACGTTTGGAGGACATGTTTTTCAACAAACAATCGGCATTACTATGACCTAACCGTATCTGTTGTATCCTTTATCTTAAGTTCGATGGAATAGATGCATTCAACATAGTTAACACATTTTGAATTATTTTGTGAGAGCTCATAATCTATATAGCGGAAAGTGAAGTTAAAGGATACTGCTAACTTCTTTTCTTTCTTCATAAGAAGTTCCTGTATGAAGTCAGCCTCATATGAATAAAGGAACAAGTCTGCTAAAAGAGTAGCTTAGTTGGTACCCATTGGAATTCCGATTTTTTGTTGAAAAAGACGTCCTCCAAACGTTACAAATATGTTGTCAATCAAGAAATCAAGCATCTTGATAATGTCAATTTCAGAGAATTTTTGTCTGAATCAGAGTGATGTTATACCAAGAGCGATTTATCCGTCCCTAAGACAAGATACTTGTATCTACGTTGTTCACTCTTTTTTATGAAACAATGCAGGACCAACTCTTTCAATTTGTATTTTAGTTTGGAACGGGGAATACTTGTGTAAAGTGTAGAAAACTCAAATGTTTTAATACTATTGCAAGATGAAAGAGTCTTAGATTGTATGTACTCTCAAAGATCGTTGGGATATTTTAGTATCCACATCTGATTCACGCCACCTCTAGAACAGGTAGCTTCACAACAACTTTGACGCCCGGAATTGATAGCTGACAAAACTGATGTTAATAATTTGGAAGAAGATTTCGTGGAGCACTGGGTAAATCCAGCAATATAAAGTTGTTTGTGAGGACACTTATGTAGTTGAAATATCCAGTACAGTGAAGGGAGATTCAGGTCTTTATCTTTGGTTGAAATTCCAAAGGAACATAGAACAGACCTGTGATAATCCAGGATTTCCTCCTTGGTAAGTGTAGCGGGGTTATGTGTTGACTTTCCAAGTGAATTTTCATTATCTTATTCATTTATCAAGCAGTTTATATAATGTGATTTACACACAAAAACGATGTTGTTTTGGGCTTTATTTGCGGGGACAACAACATATTTGTCATGGAGGTAGGGCAGGTGTTTTGCAATATTTTGGTCTTTAAAGATTGATGTAGCATGGGTATTTATAGCCCCATTTAGTTTTTATAATGTTGATTTGTATCAACGACCTCACAGCCTTATTCCATTCGGAAAGAGTCTCTACGTCTTCTTTCTCGCATTTAACTTATTGCCTGGCATAATCCTCAACTGAATCCATCAGTATTTTTAAGTTGTGCTTCTAATTGTTGGATCTAGGCTCACGATATTTCGGGCCTTTGGATAGCACATTTCGCAGAGAAGTGTTATTGACAATCTTTAGGTCACCAGTAATAACGTGGTTAGTCGGATTATATAAATGGAGAACTAGCACAGGTGTTATCAGGAGGTTTAGACTTGAAGTCGTCAATAGTGAGATCCTGCAACACGTGCTTGTAATTGAAAATATTAGTTGCAATTGGTTTGGTATAGGTATAGGTATAGAAAATGATTGGTACTGACTGATCTTTCAAATAGGGAGGTATTTTCGAGTGAACTATTTATAAGGCCACACCAATTTGATTTGTAGTTCTTCGGACAAAAGCTCCAAAAAATAAGGGGCGAGCGATTTTATTTATTTATTGAAAATGAGTTTTTTTAGGCGAGTCTACAAGTGAAGCGAGCGGTATATATTTTTTTAAATTGTGCGATTTAGAACTTATGTACATGTTATTACTGGGTTACTAAACATGCTCTTACGCATATAATTTGATTTATTGGTGCCTGTACCATACCAGACTTTCTTGTCTCACTGTGGTTTAGTTATTTTTGGTTATTTTCGTCAAGTTAGCTTTGTCTGCGTGAATTTTCATTTAAAGATTTTGCCCAAGGTGATGGCATCGAGACAAATTGGACTGTTTGCGTAAAGTGACTGAACATATCTTAACTGACAAAAATTGAAATGAATGAGCACTTTAGATTTTTTTAAATGAAGAAATTCCATTAAATCAAGAAAACATCATATTCAAATATTTCAACGTGATTTTTTTTAGATAGTGGTTGTAATAGACTAAACTAATAAGCTATTGTTGATGATAAAGGATTTCCGAATATATATACCTCTTTTAAAAGTTCTAGCTTGTAATATATCCGACACAATTTTGTTCTTAACTGTAAATTGATTAAGAAAAATAAACACCAGAAACTTGACAGAAATTGAGAGTAAAAATTTAATAATTTTATTCGTTAGCAACCAATACATACATTTTAATACAAAGTGCAATATAAACATGAGTGCACACGCTGAAATGTCTCGCCTTCTATACTGACCATTGATTTTCTGATAGTCCTAAATATAAAGTTTTACTACAAGTATCACACTAACATCTATGATCCAAGAAAATGAGGTCAAGGTCAGATAAACCAAGCCGGAAATACATGTACACCTTTAAAACAATCATTCCATACACCGAATATAGATGACCTATTGCTTATAGTATGAAAAAAACAGACCAAATCATGGAAATTTTATATTAACCAATGAACCATGAAAATGAAGTCAAGGTCAGATGAACCCTGCCAGACAGACATGCACAGTAACATCTTAAAATCATTCCATGCATCAAATATAGTTGACCTATTGCTTATAGTATCTAAGAAACAACGTTAGCCAGGAAAACTGAACATTGACCAATGAACCATGTTTGAGGTCAAGGTCAGATGATACCTGCTAGACAGACATATACACCTTACAATCATTCCATACACCAAATATAGTTGACCTATTGCATACAGTATTAGAAAAAAACAGACCAAAACACAAAAACTTAACTTTAACCACTGGACCATGAAAATGATGTCAAGGACATGTACACCTTACAATTATTCCATACACCAAATATAGTAAAACTATTGCTTATAGTATCTGAGATACGGACTTGACCACGAAAACTCAACCCTGTTTCTGTGACAGAAGTCGCAGAGACGACAGAAATGAAAAGCTACCAAGACAGCAAGAATTGCATATCTAATATTCAAATATATTCTAAGTTAAGAAAAACTATATTAAAATGACAAGTTGGCAAGGAGACTTATTTGTATAATGAATACAATGAATAGCTACAGTAGCATTCGTTTTTAAGCAGCGAATCCAAGATCTTTGAAAATAAACAAAATTTCGGATATACACGGGTATAAAGCATTTTTATGCTCGGATATACACGGGTGTCAAATTAATACCAGGATATGCTTACCTTTCCGGAGCACCTGAGATCACACCCGATTTTGGTGGGGTTCGTGTTGCTCAGTCTTTAGTTTTCTATGTTGTGTTTTGAATATTGTTTGTGATTTGATCTTTTTTTCATTTTTTGCCATGGCGTTGTCAAATTGTATTCGACTTATGAGTTTGAATGTCCCTTTGATATCTTTCGCCTCTCTTTTTTATAACCTGGATATAAGGGTGCTCTCAGAAACGTGCTTAATAACTTTAAAACGCAAGGAGATGTAGCATTATTGCCAATCACACCACTTTCGATATTTGTTACAGTACTTTTGAGCTGATGGAAGTTTGTCGATAGTATTACAATTAGAAACAACTTTTCGAAACTAGCGATTTAGATAGCGATTGTCATACTGCATAAACATTTGTGTAATACATCAGACCGTTTCTTTTTTCTTTACATGTCTTTGAGATTGAGGAGGGTTGGGTTGTAGTGTGGTTGCTGTACATGTCTCATGAACCTAGTTCTCCAAATTTGACTTTTACGTCTTATTCACTTATAAAGAAGGGTATTAAAAAAAACAATAGTCTGATTTTATATCATCTGTTGTAAATATGAGGACTTTAATCTTCCATCTTGGACCATAAATAACACAAGAGTAGATAAAGAATGTTACATTGCGAGATTTCCGATTGTTCCCCTAAACCCTAGTAATACAATCGTCGAACTTTTCTTATTACAGTAACACGTTTTTACTTTTAATTTTATTTTGTTACCGTATAATAAATTTTATTAGAGGATAATGGAGGGTGTTAGGAAAATCTCTTGCTATTTGATGGATACATTATTTGCATACAATACGGAATATATACAAGTATATAAAATGGGATAAAGGGTCAATTAGACAACAATAAAACAACAGATTAAACTTGAATACAGACATTCAGATCATCTTCAAATTTATTAGCTGCTGACCAAATATGTAGTCATTCTTTTTTTAAAGAAAAGTGTGACTAGTATTTGTTTGCAAACTACAAAGTATGGTCAAACAGGAATTAGGTATTTCACAGAATCTAAAAGCTTTCACACGTTAAACGTTATCATTGTCAAGTTGACGACCAAGTATTTCTGTGTTCCTGAGAAAATTGTGGCGAAAATATTTATTTGCTCCGAATAAATCAATCATTGGTAGCGTGAACACAAATAAGATTTAAACAGTACAACAAAAATAGTACTAGTCAAACGACTACAGAATGTTAACTGATTGTCTTATCGTAAGTCAAAGTCACTGCTTCTATTCATAACATCATGGTAAGAAGGTGGCAGTAATGATGATGTGTCTCTATTGTCAGTGGAGTTACAATCATTAGACCTAGAGCTTCTAGATATATTACCATCACCATTTGTATTGATGTCTCTGGATGATCCTGGATGTGTAGACCTTTGTTCGGTAGGTTGTTCGTGACGTTGAGGAGCATTCCGCTGTATTGTTTCTGGTGGATTTCTGTCATTAAATGTTCTTCCATGTGTGCTTGTTATGTTTCCGTCAACAACCTGGTCAATTGTAGATTGATTTGGTTGTGATCCAAAAGGCCGTTGGAAATCATGTGTACGGTTAAGTGGAGGTGCACTCGGCTCTATCATTTCTGTTGGATTTCTACCGTTATGTTGTCTTCCATGTATATGTTCTATATTACGTTCTATATCATTGTCAAATCTTGGATGATTTGTTCGTGATGTAACAGGCATGTGGTAATGATCGTTTGATGGAGGAGCATGTGTTTCTATTGTTGATAATGAAGCTTGGCCACTTCTAGACGAACGCCATTCATTTCTCTGCATGGTAGCTTCGTTTATTCTATGGTCATGTGGTTGATTATTTGGCCTTGCTTCCCTATACTGGGAATCAACATTTAAAGCACCAGATAATAATCTTAAATCTATGTGTTCACCTATAAAAGAACATGAAATTTTCTTAAATAGAAGAAAACACTAGTGTTTGAATCAATGTCTTTGTCTGACGTACCAACCTTTAAGCCTGGTGTCTTTGGTGAATTTTTACAACCCCTAGCTCGATGCCACTGGTAGTGGACATTAAGTTGCCGAAGGTGTCACCAGCCAAGTAGTCAGTAATTTTGTGTTAAGATAAAATATCATTGAAATGTTCATTTACTGTACATCTACTGTTTATAAAATGAGAATAATTCAACCCCCATGTATGAATTGCCTTGGCCTTATTTGCATAACTTTTTTAAATTTCGGTTTTAATGCCCTTCAAGTTCGTTTTTGATTTGGTCTTCTAACCGATTTGATTCACGCGTCACTGACGAGTCTTGTGTAGGCAAACGTGCGTCTAGCGTACCAAATTTAAGCCTGGGATCTTTGGTGAGTTTTATGTAGAGTTCGCCTCATTGACTGATTGTTTCGTTGTGCCTGTCCGTTTGTATTTCGAGCTATTAACTAATAAGACAATACATATCTGTTTCGACAGATTAGATTCATTTGATCAGTTTATGTTGGCTGATTCTGTATTTTGCCTAATTGATTTGCGATGTTTGATGCTGTTTAGTGCTGTTGGGTTGACGTATGTCCAACACCATTTTTCATATTGATATTTAGTTTATGACTGTTACTTTTTTATTCTTCGTCTAAATATTAAACTGATGTTATACACTAAGTGACCGGAGTTAATGTCGTAGTCATTCTCCTCATTGATTGATTTATTGATCTTTGATTTTACCATCTCGGGGAAACTCAGTTTGAGTTCAGTGATTAGTATATTTGATTTTACCTCCAGTTTGTTGACTCTGTTGAAGTTCCTCTGACTGTCTAACTAAACCTTGGATATTGTTGTCAATATTTTTCTTACTATATCGTCTTCTCCTTCTTATCAGAATTACAACACAGGCGAATAAGATGATGATAAATATGATGCAAGTAGCCACTACACCAATCAAAATGGAACCTGCAATTATAAATAAACTGTTAACACAGAGATATGTCTCGCCTTTTTGTACTTTTGATAATGCAAATGTTGAAATTAAAATAGCAATACCTTTTAAACATGTAAGTTATGCAAACATTCAAAGTCAATGAACCATGACTGAAGGTACATGTCAAAACAATCTCCATGGAAATGAGATGTGCCAATGCTAATACAACTGCATACCAAATACCATAGACTTATCATAAGTCGTTCCCTTTCAACAAACCTAAACACAAACATTGACTTGTAAACTATGTAAAAGTTTCAAAGTCAATGAACCATGATGAGGGGGTGGGGCTATATAATCCATGGAAACGAGAATTGTAAATGCCAATATATTTGCATACCAAATATCATTGACTTAACATTAGCGGTTCATCTTAAACTGATCTAATCACAAACTAATACATGTAAACTAAGCAAATGTTTCAAAGTCAATAGACCATGACTGAGGGGGCGGAACCAAATATTCTCCATGGAAATGAGATGTGCTAATGCTTATACAACTGCATACCAAATATCATTGACCTACCACTAGTGGTTCCCCATAAACTGACATAATCACAAACTAAAACATGTAAACGAAGCAAAGTTTCAAAGTCAATAGACCTTGACTGAGGGGGCGGGGCCAAATAATCTCCATAATAATGAGATGTGCCAATGCTAATACAACTGCATACCAATTATCATTGACCTACCACTAACGGTTCCCATTGAACTGACCTAATCACAAACTAATTCATGAAAACGAAGCAAAAGTTTAAAAGTCAATAGACCATGAATGAGGGGGCGGGGCCAAATAATCTCCATGGATATGAGATGTGCCAATGCTTATACAACTGCATACCAAATTTCATTAACCTACCACTAGTGGTTCCCCATAAACTGACCTTATCACAAACTAATACATGTAAACGAAGCAAAGTTTCAAAGTCAATAGACCTTGACTGAGGGGGCGGGACCAAATAATCTCCATGGTAATGAGTTGTGCCAATGTTAATACACCTGCGTACCAAATATCATTGACCTACCACTAGTGGTTCACCATGAACTAGACCTAATCACAAACTAATACATTGTTGAAGCCGCCGCCGTCGCTGCCGCCGACGCCGGAACCAGCATACCTATGTCTCGCTTTTTGACTCCGTCAAGGCGAGACAAAAAGCTATATTTATAACTTTCAGACTTCAGGAAAATCGTTTACCGAAATCAAATAATGAAATAATGTTTTTACAAGAGGCTGTCATATTGACAGCAAACCGGATTTTCCTATATGAAAATGATATTTGCAGGTATATTACTTAAAATTGAAAAAAGCTACAATCATGAAAATCATACAAATTGAATATTCAAAGTATCACAAGATTTTTATCTAAGCCTTTTCAAAATATCGTATGGACAACGCTCTACGTATCACCTGATGCTACTTAAAGGTCTATAACTCATCAACGATAAAAGCTATTATTCCATATTGATAGAACTTTAGTAGGTTTTTCTATATGAATGGGATTTTGAATAAATAAGCATATTCACCTGCGGAAAAAGTATATTCACCGCGCAAAACGTCGCGTGCTTTTACGTGTATAATAACGATACAATGTTTGACGTTTAGTTGGTTTTGGTAAATAACTGTTATTTTATACATATTTTTCTCGCTCGGAACATGGAATAAAACAATTACTGTCTTTTGTTTCGGTAAATATGTGGTTTAATTGACTTTTGAAAAACATAGTGACATTCACTTCGGCCGTTGGCCTCAGTGAATATCAGTTTTTCAAAAGTCAATAAAACCACACATTTACCTCATCAAAAGACAGTAATTGTATAATATCGTGAAATCCCGGCGAACTTGACCTGCTATTAGTCACAGGAAACAACATATCTATTTCGTTAAAGCCTTTTCAAGTTATTGCACGGACAACGCTCTGGGTATCACTTTTCGATACTTAAAGATCTACAACGCAACAACGATAAAGGCTGAAATCGTGAAAATCGAACTTGACCTTCATTTAGTCACAGGAAACAACATATCTAAATTTGAAAAGATTTCATCACGCCTTTTCAAGTTATTGCACGGACAACGCTCTAAGTATCACTTTTCGATACTTAAAGGGTCTACAACTCAACAAAAATGAAAGCTAAAATCGTGTAAATCGAACTTGACCTTCATTTAGTCACAGGAAATAACATATCTAAATTTGAAAAGATTTCGTCAAAGCGTTTTCAAGTTATTGCACGGACACTGTTTGGCAGCCGATCGCCCGGCCGCCCGCCGTACATCACCAAATTAATTACCGATATTTTTCTTTATAAAATTATTCAATATGTACTGATCTAAATTGAAAATTGTTTTTCCGAAAGAGGGATAAAATCATCTCAATTGAAAATTGTTTTTTCCGAAAGAGGGATAAAATCATCCAACGCTTCAAACTATTTTACTTGACATAATCGATAATACTTAAGTAACCAGTTTGCCAAATTCAGGAAAACGCCAGGTTCAAACTAAACAGGGGATATAGTGTAGAGTGAAGAGTGTAACACCATTCCATAAAAACAAATGTTAATATCACGTTGTATTTTAGTTACATAAGATGTTGGTACATATGTAAATGGAATGGCATAAATTAGCTTAGATTTGAGAATTACAGTTTTACCGATCAAGGACAGGTGTCTGATCTTCCACATTTTAATAACTGATTCCATATTTTCTATACATATATCTAAATTAAACTAGCCATTTCTTCAAAAGCATTAAATTTCAAACCTTTATTTCATTTTCTGAACCAAATAAAAAACATATTGTAAATAGAAATTACTAATAAAAAGAATAATGGCATTGTATGTTTTATACTGACTTTATCAGCTCTAATATCGTCTAGCCCTAGCGGGCTTGCTTTGATATTCTTGCTGATTAAAATATAAGTCCTAATCAAAAACAAAAAAATGCCATACTTCTATATATATTAAACTTTGGCAAAATACAGGAATCCATTATATTCGTAAAACCAAACATTCAAACTCAAATATATATGTCGAAATTTCCACGTAAAACGTTCATATGTAAAACAAAAAAAAACGTACCTCCGCCATTATTTTTTTCTATGTAATTTGACGTTGTCTTTAATGATGTAGCTACAATGATTTTTAATTTTGAGTTAGTCTGTCGTATATCTTTATAGTATGGTTCTAACTCAATGGAAAGTGTTTCAGATCCACTGCAAAAGGTTATAGGTAGTTTGTCATGGCAGTCGTATTTCTGAAAAGGTAAATAGAAGGAGGGTTAAGAAAGGAGTAGTTGCAATTACTTATGTAAACTAATTCTTAACCAAAAACATAGTCAAAAATCATTGATTAGTTTTTAATTTTTTTCTTTTATAAAGTCAAAAGAAATATGTTTCGTGAAGTCTAATTACATGTATTTGTGTGTAATGTGATAAAAGCTCTTTATAGGGCCCTTTAATTGGATATATATAGATTCCACCAATGCATCAAGTGTGTTACAATATTTCTCCACTCGAGACAGTTAAATTTTAATATTTAAAACGCAAGGCTTGCCGAGCTTTTTAAATAATTAAAATTTAAATGTTGAGAGTGAAGAAATATCGTGATACACAAGTTATAGTGGTGGAACCTGTTTCTCTAAAAAAAATTAGACGACATCTAAACAAAGTTTATCCTTTTTCAAAGATTTGCAGAAAGTTGTGTTCTTTACATGTGACGTCATCAGGCATGGTCGCCTTTTTTCGTGCCGTCACAATAGGAAATTCAGAAGAAACCAAGAATATTTGACGTTATAATTAAATTTCCACAAATCATTTGCCGAGAACAAAGTTTTCTCTAGAGATGAGAAATATTTTTCTCACACCGGTCGAGAAATGTGAAAAAAGCATGAAAATTAGAGAAAAAATATTCTTATTCTTATACTATAAGAGGGGCGTAAATGGGGGGGGGGGGGGGGGGGGTATCTGCACGGAAGAACGCGAAATAAAATTGCCATTTCACGATGAACGAACAATTAAACATTTCTTGCACGTTGATCTTTTTACCGATTTCCCGAAACACGGTGAATAACGAACCTTTTTCACGGCTGCACGTGAAATAAAAATGGCAAAACACGTTGCACGAAAATAACCCTTTACCACCCTCCTATCATTATGTTTTATTTATGAGGGACTACTTCCCTTTGGTCAATAAAATAAATATCGCAAAAAATGAAAATATTCAGGAAGAATTGGTGCAAAATGAATAATTATTATGTTTATGTTTTGTGAATCAATTCTGTAATAAATGGTAAAATATTCCAGTAAGTGTTACCAATTCTCATATAGAGGGTGCTGCTTTCAAGAAAGCTATTGAACTTAATGGTTTGGTTGAAGACATTTATTTGAAAGTGTTCATGACGCCATCTTGGCTTGATAGACCTTTGTGGACTAGATGTCACAGACGACCACACATCTGTGGGTTTATCGATTTTCAAAGATCCTTTTATTTTATTCAAAGAAATCTCCTTCTATTTAAACTTTTGAATAAAAATATTAACGGAAAGTTTTTCCGACTTATACAAAATATGTATAAAGATATGAAATCCCGTGTTGTCTTCAATAATGAAAAATCTTTCCTTGTGAAAATTGGTGTACGACAAGGTGAAAATCTATCTCCTGCTTAAAAATTTTTTGTTTTCTGTATATCTTAATGATTTACAAGCATTTTAGAAGAGTTAGATACAACAGGTTATCAGTCAATAAGTGCAGACCTAGAAAATGAATTAGATGTGTATCTGAAGATTTTTGTACTATTATACGTTGATGACACTGTTATTAGCGGATAGTAACACTGAACTACAAAATATGTTAAACAAATTTGCCATATATTGTAACAAATGGCAACTTAAGTTAAATGTTGATAAAACAAAAGTTCTTGTTTTTGCAAACGGTAGAATCCCACAAAATTTGAATTTTTTTATCAATGATACTGAAATTGAGATAGTTAAAAATTATAAATATTTATTAATATTTTTCTCAAAAAGTGGTTCATTTTTACAAACTAGAAAAATACTTACGAGACCAAGGAATAAAGGCTATGTATTCTTTCTTGAAGAAGAGTTGAATCAATAATTTATCTAGAGATTGGGGTTTTAAAAACTTTGACTTACTACAGCGGGTGCACCTAAAATTTTGCAAACTTATTTTACAATTGAAGCAATCAACCCCAGACTGTATAGTTTATGCTGAACTTGGCAGATTCCCAATTTTTCTTAATGCAAAAGTTCGTATGATAAATTTCTTGGGCAGAATTATAAACGGTAAAGAGTGTAAAATGTCTCACATTCTTTATGAATCATTACTTATAAATTTTAATAACTATGGTTTTGCAAGTAAATGTTGATTTATATAAAAAAATGTTTAAGATAACTGTGGAATGTCAAATACTTGGAACATGCAGTTTGCAGACAAATGGGTACCACAATTCCCGTTCTTATATATGTTTATGACATCACCGAATGACTTAACACAGGATTTTAACTTGTCATAGGCAACTTCTAGAGCAGTCCTGAGTTCTCCCTGGTATACGGCGAGGTTCGTGTTGTGCAGTCGTTAATTTTCTGTGAAGTGTTTTGAGACCTGATTTGTGCCTATTCGTCTTTTTATTTATATCGGCCTTAGTATAGTCTTTATTTCATCGACTAACTTTTCTGTTCGTCAGGTGGTATCTTCTCTCCCCTTTTTATGTATAGTGTTATCCTATTATCCAGAAAACATACAACCCTAGTTGAATATGTGTATAGCTTTATGATTTTTTTATAACGGATTCATTTTGTTTGTATTCATGTGTTTTAAACGGCTAATAGCTTATTAGAACCTCAAAATGTGCTTTTATACCAAGAAAATATAGGTTGAAGTTGCTGCAAAATTCATACTCAAAATATTTCTGTACAAGAACACAAATACAAAGATATGCTTCTGTTAAGACTGTTTTATTTGCTACATGTATACATATTAATCGAGTTCATCAGCAACTTGGGCACTGTGTATTGTTTCTTAGTTTGTCTTCTCTTTGTATGAGATACATTGTGGAACGTTGTATATCTAAAGATGCATATATACTTAAAAAAAAACTACATGCTGTCAATTACCTTTTGCTGGGATCGATCATTTCCGCGGTAAAACACCACAGCCCGTGTCACTTCATCATATATACCTGGACACTCAAATTCAAAAACAGTGACATCTGCACACAGTCTATAAAGGTTGGCGTCTTGTACTTTGAATGGTAAGGTGCAGTGTTTAGGGTATTGCAGTCCCATCCAATCTACCCCAAACGTGTCATTTTGTGACAAAATTACGTGGTATTTGTTACAGTCATTCTTACTAAATCCAACTGAAGGAAGAAATAAAAAACACATGTCGTTTCAGCTTCGAAAGATACAAAATGAATTTTGCAAAGAATAGTTAGTATTTGGCCACTAAAATTACAAAAACTAAAAATTATTACATCCTTTCAAAATTATATTAACTTTATCAATGAATTCATCTGATAACTTAAGTGCAGAAATGTCATTTGTGATGTCATAAATGACCCAAAATCTTCCTATTGTTTTTGGTGTTTTGGTGAATTTAAGTATGTGGAACAATCTAATCTTAAAAATTTCTAACATTTCTATCTTAATAAAAGGCATCCAGTGGTGAAATAGATATAAGAAGATGTGGTTTGAGTGCCAATGAGACAAATCTCCATCCAAGTCACAATTTGTAAAAGTAAACCATTATAGGTCAAAGTATGGCCTTCAACACGGAGCCTTGGCTCACACCGAACAGCAAGCTATAATGGGCCCCAAAAATGACTAGTGTAAAACCATTCAAACAGGAAAACCAACGGTCATATCTATATAAAAAATGAGAAACGAGAAACACTTATGAACCACATCAACAAACGACAACCACTGAACATCAGGTTCCTGACTTAGGACAGGTACAAACAAATGCAGCGAGTTTAAACGCTTTAATAAGCGCCAACCTTCACCCTACCTGAAACAATAGTGTAACATGACAACATAGAAAAGCACACTATAAAATATCAATTGTAATTGCTTAACTCAATCAAAAGACATATTAACAAAAACAAGTGAATATGCACCGAACGAATAAATTTGATCTATGACACAATGTAAACACAAAATTAATAAAACAAGGGGGTTAGATGTAAAACAATATAAGAAAGACAACCATAGCCTTGGACTAAATGCCGCCAAATAAAATAACGTACACAGGTAAATAAAAATAATTTTGTTGTAAGGTATAAATGGAGTACGGAAATAATTTTTACAAAATAAATAATTTTGTTGTTCCTAGTACGAGAACAAAAGTATAAATTTATCGTCATACTAAACACTTATCAAAGGTGGTATAGATTAAAATAGTGAGACTAGATATAACACTGAATAAGTAAACATTAAAAAAACAAAAATGCATTACAAATTGTATCAACAGGTCAAATTAACACGAAAGTACGATTTGAGAGTACTCGAAGTTACTGAAAGCTAGTTAAAAGCCAAAATCAATTAATAATAAAAATCATGCATCAGAGACTAAAATCAACTAAAACACATCTCAGGGGTTTAGTGTTTTAACGTCATGGACAGTCAAAGAAGACATGACTTGTGCAATGCCAAAATAAAAGTATCGACAGGCAGAATGATAGTTAGGAGTTAACCTGTTAATAAATATGTATAATGTAATATATAGATAGATTAATCTCTATATATAGAAAATGAACGTGGATGTGTATTTATACATCCTAAAAAACCGTTTGAAAAGAATACAAATTTAGTTATGTTTTAATTCGATATTTGTGCCAATGTAAACTATATTCAAAGATCTAATTACAACATTTTACTAATAAGTTTATTTAAAGGTTCGATGAGTTTACACGGATCACATAGTGATTTCCGCGCTTTTAGTACAATATTACCGTAAAATTTAGGATGTGAAATATCGTTTTTAATAAGTTTTCTACAGGTACAGCCAAATTTGCTAATCAAATCTTTGTATATATGAAAGAATTTAGTAAAAGTTTTAAGTAATTTATGGTAACGAAATCCCTGACTTGATAATTTACCAGTGATGCATTGATTACGTTCGTTAAAATCTATGACATCACATCACACACGGGCATAACGAACGAGTTGGGACATATAAACATCGTATGATGGAGCCAAACGAACATCGCCGTCTAAAAAAGGAAATTTAACAATAGGGAATAAAAAATCGTCTCTTTTGTCGTAAATTTTAGTATGGAGTTTCCCTTTAAAAATTGAAATGTCTAAATCTGGAAAAGGACAACTACTGCTGTTTATGTTAGATTTATTTAAAGTAAGTTCCTTTGGGTAAATTTCGGTAGTATATTTAGAGAACTCTGGATTATGTAACAAAAAAATCATCAAGATAACGGTAGATATTGTTGAATGTATCAACCAAATGTAACAATGACGTGTCTTTACTGAGTTTGGTCATAATCTGAGATTCATAGCAATACAGGAATAAATCTGCTATTAAAGGGGCGCAGTAAGTGCCCACAAAAATACCTACTACTTGTCGATACATTTTATCGCCGAAACGGATATATATGTTGTCCAGGAGAAAATTTAAAGCTTCAATCATATCTTCACATTTCCAGTAAGTGTATCTAGCATACTTTCCTTTTTCGTTACAGAAAAAGGCTTAAAACGAGTTTTAACAAATAAATTTGCAATGAGATTTTTCAAAAGACCATTTAATTAAATATGAAAACTTTTTCTTAATAAGATTGTGTGGAAGTGTAGTGTAGTGTAGAGAGTAGAAAAAAATCATAACTGTCAACAGAATTAAAAGGATCATCAAAAACACGTATTTTATCAAAAACCTCTAATGACTTTTTAACACTCCAAAATAATTAATACCATTATTTTCATAAGCTTTATTACAAAAGTTAATAACAAGTTCTTTGATAGAAGTAAGGCAGGTAGTTAAAAGCACTGACAGATTAGTAGTAGAACACTTACTAGCTGCGAAGATGAAACGGAATTTAAATGGTTGTTTGTGTAATTTAGGTAAAGTCTTTTTTGTTAAGACTTTTTTTAAATCTAAATATATAAGATGAAAGATTTCAAAACGAGGCAGTTATTGTGGATTTTGCATTTTTATATTAAATATGTAATGTCTAATGTTTTCATGTTAAAGATATTTCTGATACATTTATAATACTTCTGTGGCAGACAGGATTATTATGTTATTGTTTTTTCCCTTGTTTAAAACTATAAATTTCATATTTCTTTGTTTAATAATTTACATGAAGCTTATTCAGTATATTATTGTTAAATTGAATAGATATTGATATTTTGAATTCATTGGTTAAAGATAGTTATTTATATTCCAAATTTTAGTATTTGCATCGTCGCAAATCATTTATAACCTTCTTTGAAAAACTTATACATTTTATATAAATGGTTTGGAATTCTTACATTAAATGGTCTGAGGACTGGTATTTAGTTCAGCATAGGACTACTGTGCATTTACAAATCGCCTTTAGGGTTAGTGCATCTGATGTATGCCTTCTTAATACGAATAATTATTGAAGTCATTGAATGACTCAATCTTTACTTTTGGATTTCATGATAAAAGTTGTACATATTGTATATATTATATTTAGTGTCCACTGTTTTTGGTTTCATTTACTTAGATATTTAGAGAGCGCTTTTACATTTGGCATCCATCGTCTCCGTTTAAATCAGTTCACAAACTAGAACAAGCTGTGATCCGCATCCCCGAATCTCCAGCAGAATTGTTCCTGTTACACTTTGGTATATTTTAATTCAAGGACTAAAAACAAATAACTTACTGAAAAAGGTTAATCTTAATTTAATAAGAATTCTAATGATTAAATTACCATTCTGGATTACTCTCTCTCTCTCTCTCTCTCATTTATTTGCCCTTATATTAAAGCGCAAGACATTTAAGTATTTAAGTGCGGGTTTTTTTACGAAATCTACATACCTGTTCGCCTACTAGTTAATACTACAGGAAATATCAGTAAGAGGGACACACTCAGTATAAACAAAGCTTCCATTGTAATTTATAAACATCTTGTAAGCTGCAAATAAATACTACAAGGAGTTTGTCATCACATAATCAATATATTCCTTACAGTATTGTTATAAATATCTAAATCATATAATTCCTGGTGGTACCTATCAATCAACACCACTGCTGGTAGACCCTGATTTCCCGATCATGATCAGCCAGTATATTAGTGTCGGTATTTGCTATAATTAATACTTAGACAAACTTTGTGATCATCTTTTGGTGACTTCTGTTATTTGGTTGTAACTCCCCCCTACCAAAGTTTTCTTTGGATTGTTCATACTATACTTAAGGTGCCCTATTGGTTATGAAGCCCAAATTTCAGACTTTCACAATGTTTGGCTCTATTCGTTCCTAATGAGGATAAAATGCAGAAAATTACATGGAATGCAAAGCAAAACTACAAATAAATTTTACTAATTTATGAATTCATCTACTACAAATGGCATAATCATTCATACAGGGCTAACACCCTAATATCTTACTGGTGTGCCATCATGGCAACACTGAACACAGTACTAGCGGTGTTGTTATGGTGTCACCTCAGCATTGGTTCGTATCCCGCTGATGGGAAAACAAAAGTTGTGTGTATTTGTGTGTGTGTGTTACAGTATGTGGCATATCAGCCGAATGTAACACGACTCTAGTCTCTATTGTTATTAGTTAAATAGATAAAACCTTAAGTATATCATAAATTCTAAGTATTGATTTGTTCTAAAAAAAAAACTAATATTCATTTAAATAAACATTTACCTGTGCTTACCTGTAGCAATTTGTTGACACATAAATGTACATATAAATAGATTATTCACACATATGCTCGTCTGAATCTGTACCAAATATACATAGTTAAAACGGTTTAGTATTTTAATAGGTCCTTTATATGTATAAAAAATATGTATTCTCGGTAACATTTAAAGATATCAATAAAACATTGGAGAAACTTACCCTGGTTCTTTTTCAACTTAAAGTCTAGGGGTCACGGTATGGTTATTAGATACGGACGAATAGTACGAAAGCATCAAAGCATTCCAGGTTTATCCACCATGCACGTATCACAGGTGGGAAACTTTTTATAATAAAGAATAATTCTTCATATTCTTGTATCATATGAAGTCATATAGATTGGAATAGTAGTGAAACAGTGAAAAATCTGCTGACATAAAATTATCCTCTGAGAGATGTATAATGGATTAAATCAGTAGCTTTATAGATTATGAAAATAAGATGATATGGTTGTCAATGAGACAACGACCCACTAGAGACAAGTACTCTCAGGCTCCTTGCTAAGAATAGGCACACACAAATAATTTGCTAGTTTAAACATTTTTGTGAGCGCTCAGCCCTCCTCTAACCTGGGGCATTGGTGTTACATCACAATTATAAGAACTATAAGAACAAACTGTACAACTCAGTTGGAAAGGGCTTGACACAAAGTAGGAATCTAAGAGTACTCGCAGTTACTGAAACTATTTAAAAACCCAATTTCAACTTATAGATAAATCATGTTTTTGCAGACTGTCAACAGCGGTCTGAGAAAAGCACGACCTTATCTATATGTGTGTAATGCCATTGTATCGACAGGCTGCTTTACGTCCATATCTGTATTATGCGTTAATGCACTCCATCATCCCAATCAGTAAATTACCATTAACATCCTTTGTACTACTATAAAACATAAATATGTATATGTTTAATGCTTGTTACCGTGTTTAATATTCTACAACTACCATATGTAAACACTCCAACATCAAAATCATGACAACCTTCAAAAGTCAACAAGCTTTCTTTTCATTCTACTGAAAGAAAATAATTTCAATTATACAAAAAAATTTACGCCCATAAATTAAACATGAGTATACATACTCCTGTTTTAAATGATATTATGATGTTGTGGTATGACTAAGACATATTATATTCAGTTGGTGTATGTAGGATTGCATTCAGACAGTTACTTATTGTTTTAGCTTGCTATTTGCTTCATAGCACAAGGTTTGCTGTCGGAATATTCTTTTATATCCTTAAGGAAGGGTTTTAAGATATCAATAAGTCGTCCGAAACCCAAACACGAAGGAAAAGACGACTAAGATTATAAAGAAAAAACCCGCAAATTGGGATTTATCCCTATACGGTATGGGGTTTGCTCATTGTTAACTTTGTTAAAGGGTGACAGATGTTTGAATTCTTATCTTTTGGTATTTAGTGTATAATTGTTACATTAACAATCATACCACATCTCCTTATTTTTAAAGCGGATCGGATGGTGTTTAGTGAATAAAAAATATTGGCCAAAAAGTAATGACAAGAGATTAATGGTCCAAAAATTTAATGACTAAAGAAGGATAAGGATTATATGATATATTCTAAAAAAAAACCAGAGAGACTAAAATGAAATATAGAATTTGATAACAAATATTGGTAAAAGTAAAAAACAAAACGAAAATATTTCTTCCAACAAAAAAATCTAAACAAAAGTATACAAAATTTATATATACATAGGTATTACAACACGAGCACAATCGATTTCCATTCTTAACAGAAACAACCATGTATGTTCTACAGCTTAACATATGTATAGACACCTGTCTATTGTCGAAGACTGTCTGTTGACCTCTTTTGGTTAAGTGTGTCGTTTGGTTGCTGCCTCATTGACGTATACCCCAAATCTTGTTGTATTCATATGTATGTCATATTTTTTTTTCTTCCCGGCTCCCTTATTTCTACCAGTCTTTTGTTTATAATTTTTTTTTTTTTACTGTATAAACATTTAGACAACTTTTATGGGAAATATGGCATTTTAACTGCAAGAAAATGGCTTGAAAGCTTGCAATTTTTTAAATGAATTGATACCGCAACGATCTTAGTGTATTCACTGTATTGGCACTAACGTCCTTTCCTTTCTTTGAATTATGAGTAATTCAAAGTTGATACTTTTTGTTTAGTTTTATTTATTTATTTTGCATTTTCCTATCCAGGTAACGTCAGATATTTTAGCAGGTTCTAAATATCAACAACAATAGCTTTTTGAACCATGATATCTTAATTCATACGTCTATTCTATTATATATTACGCTTGTTTAAAAAAAAGTTTTTCAGTCAAGGTTAGAAACATACGTGAGACAGGCGTTGCTATGTTACCTGTTTACTTGTAACATACAATTGAAAAGTTATTTACATGTATATGTTCATAATTCAAGGAATCTATTTATTTCGCCCATAGGCAGATCCAGAGTTGAACTTTTTTTTCTAAACATTTTTCTGATTTTCAATTGCCGGGCCAAATCCCTCCTCTTTCTTATCTTTCGATGGACCCACCGCCCGCCTTTTCTTAATCCTGGATCTGCCACTACCATCAGTCTGCTTGGGGTTTTTTTTATAGAAGGAAACTTTGACGTTCATAAGATGGAGGTCCATTCGAATTTTTTACAAATGGTTACTTTTAAACAATCAAATTAATAGTTCATTTAAAATTTGAACAATAGTTTAGACAAATCGACAGTTGCTGTCAATAATTTTGTCTATCAAAAATCTAATTAATAATTAAGAGATATTAGATAAACAGCTAATAACTTTGTCTTCCTTCTGTTTATAGATAAATAATTCTTAATTTCATTTACGGTTTAAAAACTTTACAATTATTGTATGGACATGACACAAAGTAAACATTCAACCATTTAATTTTGAATATGCATATGCTTTCTTTCTATGTCAATCGAATGTCTGATTGAAATCAATTTAAAATGTACTTTATATTCATTTGCACCCGTAATATTGAAAGCATTATTATACACCCTTCATAATCGTGGTTGTTGTGTGCAAATTCTGTTGTGGTATCACTATAGTAAAACTTAGTGACGTCCTTGATCATTTGGGATTTAGGAGAACGTTAGCAGAGTTTGCTTGACATTTTCATCACCAAACAGATCATCCATACTGCTTACAACTTAAAGGTTTGTAATGAAGTCAATGATTCTATTAATTTTCATTATTTATAAATGTATCTATACTTTGCAATGTCCTAGTTACGTTTATCAGCACATTACTTTGAATTAAGTTTACTGATGGGTTTACTTTGCTAATAATAAATAGACTTTGATAATAATAAAATGTGTGGGATACTGTTGACCGCTTTGTTTCTTAAAATACCGGTTGTAATCTGGGTTTGTCAGATTCAGTTTGGAAAAAGTTTAATCGCATTTTATCTGAAAATATATTTATGAAAATGATTTTCGTCGCGTTACGTCGATTTTCCTATTGTTTGCGCGTTAATACACATTTCCGAAATACAAATGTGTTTAACATGTGAAAAACTTTACCATATATATATATTAGTCAAATGCGTTTTGTTAAAATATACTTTTTCACTTTTTTTGGTCTTTTGGAAATTGTTGTTTGTTCTGTATTTAGACCCCTCTACCAAGAAATTTGTTTTACATGCACACGTATAAAAATTGCGGTTTTTATCCAACGCAATCATAGGTTTGAACGTTGTTTTCAATTTATATATATATTTGAAATTTGTTTGAAAAAAAAACGAAACAAACAATGGAACGGGCTATTTATGATCCTAAAATGAACACCAATAAATCGTTTCATCGGTTTAAAAATAATATAGTGATATTTGTGTCAGAGTTTTTTTTTTTTTTTTTTTTTTTTTGTAGATAAAGACGTTTATTGCAACACAATTAAGCTATAGCATATTTAAAATGTGTAAGTAAATAGGTCTTTGAATATTGTTTTTATTGGTACAAATATTGATTTTGTTCTCAGTAAATTAAAAACAGACTAAATATTCTTGTTATATACATATACACATTCATGGTGGCTGTAGAATCTGTTGATACCTGTATCTTGGCATTTCACAAGGTCATGTTTTTCTCTGACTGTTAATGACGTCTTTAAGCTAAATCTATTGGAAGTTGGGTGTGTACTGATTGATATTTTAGTCTTAGATGCATAATTATTTAATTAAGTTGTTATTGGCTTTGAACGAGCTGTCAGTAGCTGCGAGTACTCTCAGATCTGTACTTAGTGTCTTTTTTGTTGTAGGGATGTATAAATACCCTGCCACGTCCGGTCTGTGTTTTTGTTAGATGTTTCTGCTTTGTATCGATCTGATGAGTTAAGCCCTTTTCAACTGATTTTTATAGTTTGTGTCTTATGTTGTACTGTTACACCACTGTCCCAGGGTAACGGATGGTTTGGCGCCAGCGAACTAGTTTAACCCCGCCACATTCTGTATGTGCCTCTCCCAAGTCAGGAGCCTGTAATTCAGTGGTTGTCGTTTGTAGCTGTATATCATATTTGTTTTTCGTTCATTGTTTTGTACTTAAATAAGGCCGGTAGTTTTCTCGTTTGAATTGTTTTACATTTGTCATTTCTGGGCCTTTCAAAGCTGACTATGCAGTATGGGTTTTGCTCATTGTTGATAGCCGTACGGCGATCTATAGTTGTTAACTTCTATGTCATTTGGTCTCTGGTGGAGAGTTGTCTCATTGGCAATCATACCACATCTTCTTATTTTTATAGATGCCATGAATATAATACAGAAGCCTTAAAAATGTTTTCTATAGGAAAATGCTATTTACTACTGGATTATATTTATGTGATCTTATACTTTTCAGATGGGGAATGTATGTTGTAGTGGAAAAGGAGGTGGAATGGGACCAATAAATAAATTCTGTAAATGTGGTGGACCACGACCGAAATCTGGACATTCTAGAAAAGGAAGTGGACATTCTAGGAAAGGAAGTGGACATTCTAGGAAAGGATGTGGCAAGGGACGAAAATCCCCTAAAGGATCCCCTAGAGGGTCCCCTAAAGGGAGACGTAGGAGAGGATCACACAGTAGTTAATGAATGGCGGCATACATGGAACTCTTCAAACAGTATTATGTAGATGTGAATTCAAATATGTATTGAGACCCTTCTGTATTTTTTTAATGTAATTCTTTTTACTAATGGGATGCTATGATCAAATTAGTTATATAATGCCGCACTTTATAATACATTGTAAATATAAAGAATGTAAAGAAAAAGACAATAGGTTTCAAATATTTTAAATTATTGAATGTAGTTGAGATTTGAAAGTATTTCAAAATAAATACATACTATTTTGAATAATAAATAGGATGTTTATTACATTATGATTTAATTTCCTTTGCAAGCCAAGCGATAGAGCACAGTAGAAATTCGTTTGAATATGTACAACACTCAAAAGGACAAGGCAAATACACACACACACACACACGCACACACACATGTTCTCAGTATAGCAGATTTCGTGTATTGCATATTTACATAGTAGGAGTATTAAAAATTTAGATTTAGCGCTAACTAATGTATGATTTAAAGCTGATTTATTGAAACCTATTTTTTATATTGGTGTAAGGTAACAACCACACAACAATAATATCAAAAGGACAATTAGAGGTCAGCATACAGTCCGCAACAAATCGATATACCAAGCTCTGTACTATCATCCCAAAGCAAAAAGATATAGAAGTAAGCAACTATGTGTCTCCGTTTGCCTTCAACAATGAGCAAAACCCATACCTCTTAGCAAGCTATTAAAGACTCCGACATGACAAATGCAATACAACTCTAACGAGGAAACTAACGGCCTGATTTATGTACAAAACAATTAAACGAAAAACAAATATGATATACAGCAACAAACGACAACCACTGAATTACAGGCTCTTGACTTTGGACAGGCACATACGGAATGTGGCGGGTTAAACCCAAAACTAACTATAAGTTTGATTTATTAAGATAATGTTCAACGCGAAATGATTTGACATATTTATAAATTATTAGACGTCCTTTTCCAAATCGGCCCTGGTATCATCCCGATACTCCCATATCATCCCATGCGCTGGCTTATTGGTTAAAAAAGATAGGATCGGTAATGCTAAGAAATAATCGTATTTGTATTTAGTTATAAAAATGAATCAAATAGGACTTGACCAATTTAAAACATCTTCTAAACTATTATAAATGTTTTCCTTCGTCCCATAAATTTTAGATTTACAATATTTTTAAATTGCACTTAATATTTACACCTGTCCATAAATATAAAAAAAAAGAAAACATTATTATACAACCGTTCAACATAGTTCTATCATATGTAAATGATGTTGTGGCATCACTATGGCAAAATTTAACGATGTGCGGGATAACTTTGCATGTATGGATTTTGTTCAGAGAATGCCTGACATTATAACAGAATAGCAGTTTATTAATAAAAGGTATGTTTTTAAGTTAAGACAATTTTTTATTTTTAGTTTCTTAATGCAATATTATTTTCGAGCTCAGAATTGAACAATTTATCAAATAAATTTATATGAACTATCGTAATCCGTTTGTAAAGTTCAAAGTTTCATGGAAAATATTTTAGTGTCTTTGTGTTATAGGTGTTGATACAATGCAGAATATGCCTGCACTTCTAAGGTATCTGCTATCAGTAACAGCTGCAAAATACCGTTTTGCTGCATCTTTCTTGCACTAATTTTGAAGTGAGTTCATATATTCATAGAACACATATCACTAATAAAGATTTTCGACTATGTTTGATTTAATAAAGGATATTGGTTAAAGGACATGAAAAGTTTTCTGCTTTTTTCTTCAATCTATGAACTATCTATGACGAACACCTGGCCCTTTTACTTTGAATCCGATTTCAAAGATGTTCTATATTAAAATTCATTTAGTTACCTCTTTTAACATATATTAACGATACCGTCTCTATTCTTTAAAGATAAGTAAGCTTATGCAAAAACATACGAAAAACGACGAAAAGATACACAAAGCCACAAAAAACTACATAGAAAACTGAAGATTGATGAATATCAAAAAGATAAATAAGAAGGACATTTATAATAAAATTTTACTCGGAAGATAAGCTTTGAAACTAAATTATTAGTTATAGATATCCTTCGATAGAAGTAAGAATGACATTTTATTTGAAGGATACATGTATTCATTTAGAATTTTTTGATTATATTTATGATTTCTATTCTCTGCTATTCCAACTCCAGTAAGTTTTAACACCTTTTTTTAGCCTGTTCATGTTTATGTTTTTAGTAATCTAGAATGTGTATATAATTTTTCTTCTAACTATCGTACTGACATTTCTGTTGAATTTTCTTATACTTACATAAAAAAACAAATGTTTTAGGTGATGATGATCTAAGTTGTAATGACTTTTGTCAGATCATATTTGTTATTATGAATGATAGCAAACAAAATATATTTTATAAAGATTTATAATTATAGTGGAATCAGACTTTCACTGTAAGAATGTAATCAAATTTGGTAGTTCACGTCGATCTTTTTACGGTTATACTATTATATGTATTAAGCTAGCAAGCTTGAGATTGTCATTTTTTCAAATAATTCTCCTTTGGCTGAAAAGCTTATGATTACGGTTACATTGTTGTTGGTCAATCATTGTTAATACGTTCCTGGTATTTTGGAAATATCAATTCACTTATTTACAGTTAAATCAATACATAAATGTTTCCATTGTTTTCTGTATTTTAATTGTGTTCAGTTTGCTTAATGCATTGCACAAGATCACGTCTTCCTGTACTGTTTATACTTTAGTTGTATAAGATCTTCTTCGAAGTTCAGTAACCGACATTAGAGTTCAGAGCGGCACGATTTATGTCAAGTTAATAGATTAGATAATGGAAACGGGGAATGTGTCAAAAAGACAACAACCCGACCAAAGAGCAGAAAACCGCCCATGGCCTCTAATTGGTCTTCAACGCATCGAGAACCAAAATTAAAAACAAAAAAAACATAAGACTAACAGACTAGAGGTTCCGGAGTTGGGACAGGCGCAAAAATGCAGCGGAGTTAAACATGTTTTGTGGGATCTTTACCCTCCCCTATACCTCTAGCCAATGTGGAATAAACAGACACACAGCAATACGATTCCCTGAAAGAAGAGTAGTGACTGTAATCTTAGTGTTAATATATTTTATTTGATATATTGTTTTAATCATACGGACCTGGTAATAGCTATACATTAATTTTTAAAAGTCCTCAATTTACCTAGGAATTTGAGGAATCACTCTTATTTTAAAGGTACCAGCAAATTCAGTACAATGATGAATTATTACTAATGTTTCATTTTTTAATTTCTTGGTTGCCTTAGGTTTTGAGAATTATATAGGAGGTGAAGTATTTCAATATTGTGTATTTAAATAAAATATAATTTTTCCTGATTCTAAGCTAGACTAGCACTTAAATACTTTTTTATTTAGTTTCCAAAAGAATAACACACATGTTAATTGCCATGTCAATTTGGAGATTTTCTGTTTTTTTATATGTTATATATACAATACACACTACAATGTACCTGACTACGCAATAGAAAATATAATTATAATTCAATGTTTACTTTCAATGCTTATTGTTGAGTTTATATCAATACACATTCTTACTTTAATGGATTTAATAAAAAAAAAAATGTATGACTGTTTTTAAATAAGTATATCAAGCGTTACCCTGTCAGGCATAAAGAATTTATTAGGTTTCCGTTAACATATTGATGAATGCAGTCGTTGAATTCGTTTTAGAAAATGGACCATAGTTCTAAATATTATTTAAACGTCGTCTACAAAATTACTTGAATCGATTTGCATGACAACAGTTACGCAACAGCGGTCAGAAAGCACTTATCAATGACGTACATATTTCATATTTGTATTGTGGGATCAGCCCTTATCGTTTTATTCATCGGAATTTAGTTTGATAATGGCTTCCAAATTATTATAATGTTACAAATGCAGATTTTGCACTAGATGTTGGATATGACCTCAAACGGACACTGTTCGAGATATAGGGGATATTAAAAAAAGAAGTTTAAGTCCTGCCACATATACATTATAGGTCCAATGGGCCGGGTGTTCTTATTTCAATTGCTCTAAAATACATTCGTTGTAATACAATTATACACATGTCACTATAATAAACAATATTCTTACTCATACATGTGCCTGTCCAAAGTCAGGAACCTTATTAGTGGTTATTATAAATCTGGCCGTTGGTTTTCTTTGTCATATTGATTCACAATTTGGCACGCTGGGGCCTTTTATAGCTTACTATACGGTATGATTTTTGTTCTTTGTTGAAGGCCTTACGGAATACGATATGCGTTTACATCCTCGACGTTTGGTCTGTGGTGTCGTTGTCTCATTTGCAGTCATACCGCATCTCCTCGTATTTATATAATGTCAAATCTGAATGTTTTTGTTTTGTTTTTTTGTTTTTTTTTTATCAATACGATTATTATTTTGAGAATTTGGTGTTGATATCAGATCAATAATATTTCCCGCAAATGAACACATGGTATCGTTCTACAGAACTAAAGGGGAGATAACTAAACAACATTACTCATTTCTGTTGTAGATGGGAAACGTATGTAGTGGAAAAGGAGGTGGTATGGGACAAATGAATAAATTTTGTAAATGTGCTGGCGACCGACCTCACTCTGGACATTCTAGGAAAGGAAGTGGTAAAGGACGTAAAGGATCTCCCCCTGCCCATGGAAGACGAAGGAAAGGCTCGCACAGTAGTTAACATGCAAAACATGTTTATATGTGTGGATTTATACAATTGAATTATTTATGTACATATCATTTTCTATGTTGAATTGGTATATTTTAAATATTTGACACTATATCGACAAGTGATGAATTTTCACGACAGTATTATTTCATGTTTAGATTTTTTGAAAAATGGGCAATTCCTAATGCTTTGAAGTTAAGTTGAAAAATATTATTTGAGCAAAGTATACACAAAATGTTAGCTATGTGAAGAATGATTGAATTCTTGTTTTCATAGAACAGTTATTTTATTTATGTTGCTATATAAATGCTCTATGGAAGTATTGTCCAGTAATGTAAGATTTTATTATTTTATAATGATATTAATTAGTGATTCTACAAAGAGTGATATTCAAAAATCATAAAGTCTGCTGAATACAGATTTTTTAATCTTGCCAAGTGTAGTCTTTTTTATAATAAGACCTCCGCATATTTGTAATTTGTAGGAAATTAATTTTTTAATGATTATAGAGAAAATACACTTTCTCATTGGTTAAAGCTATTCTTCTTGTCTGTTTTGGCTTACTTGTGATCTTAAGTACCACTAATTAAAATATATTTCAGGAACCATTTAAGATAAAACCAAACTAAAGCCTCACAATGTACAAAACAAAATAAAATTGTGTGCATCAAAAGGTAAAGCCGTTTTCCCCCAAACTTAATAACAGTATAAAAGTACTTGCAATTGTCGGTTGAAAATATATTTCACTTTGAAAATGGGACCAATGATTCAGCTTATTTCTTCCTTCCTTCAGGGGTTACAAACATAATGAAGATTATATACTTGTTTCTTTCTCTAATATTTGTTCTTAACGGTCATTAAATAAAAAGTTTACAAGAATAATCGCCTTTATTGACTTTTCGGTTCTAATGCTTCTGAACTGTAGCGTCTTCATTTATTAAAAAAAAATTGTGCATCTCAGAATTCATATCTGTTCCTTGATTAAACAAACTGCAAACACCATTACAAATTACAAATATTTCTCCCTGCCACTTGCATCAGAGGTTCTTTATGATAAAAATGCATTGTCTCCATCATTTTATAATCGTCAACTTACATAAAATCTACGTCACGAATGACAATGACCACATGTTCTATCCCGTCCTTATTCTTAGTTATTTTAACTATTTCCGAGTACATATATGAATTATCACCGGATGTATGTTGCATACAGGAATGGGGTAATCGTAATCTGTAATCGTAATCGATTGTAATTGAGTACATTTTTTCAAGTAATCGACAGTAATCTGTAATCGACAACATTTTCGATTACATGTAATCGTAATTTAATCGATTACAGCAAAAATTATGATGTAATCATCGATTACTTTTCGATTACATTTCGATTACTTTAGTAATATAGTTTGAAATAAAAACTAGTTTAAATGAAAATAGACAACTGCATGTATTCATCAGTTCAAAGTACTGATAAAATAGAATGTATCAATATTACTTGAGAGTTTATCAAATACCTTATTTAGATCTGTTGTCTCAAGCTGCATTATGATAAACCAGATCTCCTAGGCTAACAAATTTTACTTTATTTCCAGCTTTTGAAATAAATGACTTCCAATGCTTGTCAATAATTTGAGATATTTTTTATTAAACACAAACATGTTAAAAATAAGAAAATAGATTCAAAATAGTGAAAACATAAATGTACTTGTATTCCTAAGTTAAGTTCTGTACTATACTAAAGAAGAATGGTTTTATATATGTAATAACATTTTTTAAAGCTTAATTTTCAATTATATTTAGAACTTTAGCTTAGAGTAGATAAACTGTTGATTCGTCATAGTGTTATGACATCAAAATTAGGAAAGAATACAAAACATTTTTACAATGAACCAATGCATTGAAATTTTTGTTCAGTAATAGATACATGTATCCCATTGTGTCACTAAAATGTAAATTGTTTATGATTTTGAAAAGAGAACAAAGAATTCTCAAAAACCTTCTTGTTGTTATAATTACTAATCAGATGATCAAAGACCTCTAATCAATGAGATACAGACTATGTTTTGATTTCAATTATGTTTAATTAAATGAGAGATTTAATACATGTTGTTGCCCTAAGGTTATAAATTGTTCTCCATTGGCAATTGTATAACCTGTAATTAGGTGGATTATCCAAACAAAAGGATAAATTCATTCATGTAACTATAAACTATAAATTTCCATCTTTTAAAATTAGTTAAAAAACTAACTCTTCTTCTTTTTTATATATTTTTTTTTCATAGGAAACCTCTCATACTTATTATATTCAAATATACCATCCTGTTAAATAAGAGTAAATATCAAAATTAAGTCAGTATGACAGCAAAAATTTGCAAACTATGGAGAAAATGACCTACAATATAAGGAAGCATTTGATACAATTGTCGATTTCATTTCAAGAATGTTCTCATATATAGATATAAGAAGATGTGGTATGAGTGCCAATGAGACAACTCTCAATCCAAGTCAAAATTTATAAAAGTAAACCATTATAAGTCATGTTTATCATCGCTCACTCAAGAATATTTAAATAGTTTAGTTCCCCTCTAAGAGTGTCTATCTAGAAAACGATTTGAAAACATTTGAAAACAATGCTTAAAAAGCTGTTTTTGTAAAGTTCCAAATTACCACTCTAAATAAGTTGTGTTTAAACTTTCTTCAATATGTGTAATTGATAATAATCGAAAAGTAATGTAATTACTTTTGATAAAGTAATCGATTGCAATCGATTACATACAAAATTCAGAGTAATCGATTAATAATCGATTGCACAAAAATCCTTCATGTAATCGATTATTAATCGATTACATTTATCAGTAATCGTGCCCATCCCTGGTTGCATATTCTCTCGATCTATAATCTTTGAACGCTTTTGTGTTTGTTTCTGCTGATAAAGCAGTCAACAACGTTGTTCTTGTTTCATGTAAGTATTATATGGAAAAATTAAGACAATAAATAATACGTTCATACCTACAACTTATACTGAAGATAAGGTCGTAGATGAACACGCTTTAACAACGTCTGAGCTGAGAACTGATACTGATCACCATTAGACTTCCTAAATTACTTTTGGAAATTTATTAATTACGTTTTATATCAGCATTCATAAAATTTCACTACACATGGTTTTGTTTTTCTAACGACCTCTCACAACTTATAAGGAGCTTAAAACAAAATGTTGTAAGTAAAACTATCTTTTGGAAAATAGCAATATTAACTTTTTCTAAACTGAAAAATAAATCTTCGGACGTCTTCAATTGGATAATTTCACTCCTTTGTAGTATATGTTGTCTTTGTTGACTGCTATGATTTCTATACATTTTTAATCCATTTTGGGATTCTGAGTACGGAGCGATTTTCTTATTTGGATCAATCACTACCGTTAAAGGTAAGGTATTTTCACAATTTCAACAGATTCTGAAAGACTGATATCTCTTCTATTCAAATCTTACATGCTTCGGGTGTACGGAATGGTGATGTAAGCATAAATGGCACCGGTTTGAGGAGAGGTAGTTGGTAAATATTTCCGGAATAGTCTAAATAGAATTTGATAAGGGATTCTGAGGCGGCCTAATCAGAAAATCGCTCCGGATTCAGAATCCAAACAGGGATCAATACATTGTATGCTACACTATAATAACACTCAATTTTATCGAAAGACTTGGTGTCGATACATCTTTGTGTTACTGTATCTTTTGGAGGCGTTACAATTCCATTTTCAATAATTACAAAAAAAAACACTTGTGTGATATTGAAACAAATTAACAAAGATATTAGGTCTTTTATTGAAAATATTTATGTTCGAGATATAAAATGCCTCCAGTGATTGGTATTCCGATGGGAACTATAGATAAGATAAGAATTTTATTAATCTAATCAAGAACCCATAAAGGGCATCATTTACAACAATATTAAGCACAATATGATTGGAAAAAAGAAAAACTATATCCTAATATAATACTATCATATATTGGACAGGATCAGAGCCTAACACATCATGTGTCTTACATAACATTAACAATAATTGCATAATAATTTTATATATTTTGTATCCACCTGGATCTTATTTCTAAACACTTAATTATATAATTGCCTAGGCACATAAGAGTTGGTAAATGCTCATTTGTGAACAGCCAGAAATATTTTTTATCCTTGGGTAATTCTTTAAAATTATTACAAAAACTGTTTACTTTATCCCATAATAATTTTCTCTGTTCGTTATATAAAGGACAACTTACTGTGAAATGGGTCTCATCTTCAATAGAATTTGATCCATGTGATAGGCAGTGATGACATAGACGCTGACTTCTCTCTATGTATTTTTTACTATACCTATCTTTCTCAATTTTAAGATCATGTGCACTTATTCTCAATTTACATATAGCTCTTCTTATATTAAAATCTTTAATTGATAAATAAGCCTCCTTTACGAAGTCAGTCTTGAGGTTGAAATAATTTTCTAATTTACTATTACCTTGTGATAAGGTATCAGATCTTTTGACCCCCCAAAATGTTTTAAAACTGTTACAAAGTTTACATTTTACAAATTTAATTAATCTATTGAGCTTTGTATTCAAATTTTGTATATCAAGTGATTGAAGGACATATCTCATAGATGAATACCAACAATTAATGTTTCCTGCATCTAAAATTTTATTACAAACATAAGCATCATAAAGTAACCCATCGTCCAATTTGTTAAGTCTGTGTACATATTTTACCATAGATATAATGACAGAAAAATAAAGAGGAAATCTTGCAACCTCTGATAACACTGCCAAATTTGAGGCTTTTTTATTTACACCAAGAATATATTTTAGATACCTGAAATGTGATTTTTCCAAATAATCATTTATGTAAATTAATTCAAATAGATAATCACTTTTTTTCTTGCAAGCAGCAGAGTTAATCTTAAAGGTACCCCAGATTTCACTACAATATAATAAAATTGGTTTTATTGTGTGATCATATAAATGGATTGCAGTATCAATACTTGGATTACAAGCTGACATGGATTTTTGTAGTTTAAATTTTGCCTTTAAGGACTTTTTGAATAGCTCTTCTTTCCCCTGCTGAAAAAGACCACTGGAAGTAAAGACTATCCCTAAATATTTATATCTGTTAACACATTCTATAGCCTCATTATCTAAACAAAGTGATTCCTTCAAAAATTTTCCAGGCTTGTTAAAAATTAAAACTTTTGTTTTGGACAAGTTAACATCTAGACACCAATCAATACAATAAGTTTGCAGGTTATCAAGTCGGGTTTGCAGACCCTGTTTAGTGTTTGATAATATAATAATGTCATCGGCGTACATAAGACAATCAATTCTACGCCCATTGATATAAACAGCATCTGGACTCGACTCAAATCTTGGAGGCAGATCGTTAATGAAAAGCTTAAATAAATTTGGGCTTAGAACATCCCCTTGCCTAACCCCAACTAGCGAGCTGAAAGATGGCGTTAGTACATTACCCACTTTCACCGACATTTCATTTTTTCTATACATGTCTTTTAAAATAGTATAAAATTTTCCAGATATGTTATTTTCCAATAATTTGTATCTAATACCACAGTGTATGACCCTATCAAAAGCCTTTTTAAAGTCCACAAAGCAAGCATAAATTTTCCCCCCTTTTCTGTTAGTATATTTATCTAATATGGTTTTTAAAACAAACATATGGTCAGATGTTCTGCTCTTTTTTGAGAAACCAACCTGACATGGATGAATTATATTATTTTTATCAAGATGAATGTCAAGTCTTTTATTAAGAATACTGTTAAATAATTTTCCAATGCATGAATCAATTGCTATGCCTCTGTAATTTTCAGGTTTACTAGGACTCCCTGCTTTAAAAATTGGACATATATAAGACAATGACCATTTGCGAGGGTATGTTCCAGAGCAGAATATCAAGTTAAAAAGTTTCTGCAAAACAGGTGCAAATATACTACCCCCTGATTTTAATATCTCGTTTGGGATACCATCTAGTCCTGCAGCTTTATTATTCTTTAGTTTATTTATAGCATCCAAAATTTCTTTTAGGGTTATTTTGTAATCCAGTTCACAAAAAGTTGGATTATTTTCTAAATTTTTTACTTTCTTGTTAATTTCCTCTAATCTGTCTTTAAATTTGTCAGAGTTGAGATTTAAAGATTGAAAATATGAAAACCAGACGTTAGTTTGAATAGAATGTTCTGGACCATCCAAATTGTCTTCTTTTAATTCTTTGATGAGATTCCAATAACTCTTTGGATTATTATCCCTTAGATTATCCAGACTGTCAAGAATGTTTTGTTTAAATTTCCTTTGTTTATATTTACGTAGCTTATTATACTCCCTATAACATTTATAGTAAGACCCTTTTATAATTGGGTCCCAGGGGAATTTTGATAACAGCTCACCTTTAGAAATAAGGCTTTTACGTTTTTGTACCAGGTCTTTGTCAAACCATTTTTTGTTTTTGTATTTACGTGCAACTTTTTTCTTGGTTTTACGGAATATTAAACATTTACTGGCAGCATTATCTATTATATCAAAACATTCATTAGCTGCCTTTTCAATATAGTCCTCTGAAAGATTAAATTTTGTGTCTAAAAAATTTTTGATACTATTTCTAATAATTGGCTGGCATAAAGTATCTTGAAGTTTTTGTGTAGAGGTTTCTGACCATATATATTTTCCTGGAAATAAAATAGTATTGTCTTGCTCCTTAGCTTTATGCGAGTAACTAGCTAACAGGCCAAATGTCAGTTTACAGTGACAGTCTGACAGAGTTGATAAAAAATCAGCAACATGAAAAAATAAAGTATCTTCAATCAAGTCTTCCGACATGATAACATAGTCAACCACACTACTACCTACTGCTTTTATACAAGTGTATTTACCATAAGAATCGCCCCACATTCTTCCATTTAAAATACGTAATTTGGACGCAATACACAAGTCCAGAAGTTGTTTACCTCTTGAATCTACTTTCATATCATAACTTAATCTCTTTTCTTGAATAATATCACAACTATAATTATCATACATTGGTATATGTGTATCATTAACATCATTTATTATAAAATCTGGCTCTGACCCTGTCCTTGCATTTAAGTCCCCACACAATATAATACTACCTTGATGGCTAAAATTTATGATATCTTTTTCTATGTTTTCTAGTGTGTCATCTTCTGATTGATCAACATAAAATGAAGTAGCTGGTATAATATATGCCAAACATAGGAATATATCTGTACTTAGATTAAAATAATGTTTATCAAACTGTAACCATTGATAATCTTTACATGTATTTATCAAAATCTTGATGCCCTTGCGAACTTCATATTTGATCAAAATACCTAAGCCCCCATAGTATCTAGAGTTAGCTGATTGTGGTCTACAAATAGGGTAATAGTTAAAACCCTCAATATTGACTGTAGTGTTATAACCTACATGGGTCTCAGTTAATAGTATAACATCATATTTTCTTATCTCTTGAAGAAAAAGGGGATCTGTTATTTTATCATGATGCTTTGAAATAAGCCCACCTATGTTCCAAACACAAAATGTTATGTTGTGAAAAAAATTATTTCTCTTTTGACTGGTCATAATTGCTTTTTTAATAGTAATCTTTTAAAATTCCCTCTCACCACTGGTTAATTGTACAATAATCTTTTATTAACTTTGACAGTCAGCTTTTGGGCAGGTAATATGAATATGAAATCCTGTAAAATAATAAAACTCTTTTCCCTCTTATAAAATAACAAACTCCTCTAACTAAGGAAAGGCAAAAATGAAATTATCTTTTTATTGTCCTATATAAATGACAATTTAAGTTTAGATAAAACAGAAAGCAAAACAAAATCTAGCTACAATTGTTTACAATATATCAAACAAAACTTAATTATAACTGGCAACTTTATCTTCTTTACTAAGAAAATCTAAATACAAATGTATCAGCATATTAAGGCTGCCCATATCCACGACCCCGACTTTGATAATTGTTATAAGTGTTATAACCGCGACCACGATATCCACCACGCCCACGATATCCACCATATCCACCACGTCCACGATATCCGCCTCTTGATCCGTTATTCAGGTTAACATTGCTGTTATAAAAAGGTCTACGTTTTGGTAGATCTAGTGCTTCATCAACTATATCCCGAATATTTGCTGCAAACACGTTTACACCTTGATCTGAAAGGTGATATTTATCATCCTCACTAAGAAATCTAGGGATTGCTCTGCCTTTATTAGCTAGGTTACTGTGATCACACAGATAAACTTTTTCGGTATCAAAGTATTCCTGCTTCAATAAAGCACTTATCAACTGACCTTTCATATTGAAGCTTTCGTTGTCAGCTCTAGGTGTTGGTGTAGATAAGATAACTTTTGAAGATGGATATAAATCACATGTTAAAGATATAATTTCCTTCATTTTGTTAACACAAATTTCTGCACTTTTTTCACGTAGCTCATTTGTTAAGGACTATATATGCACGCTCTTAATGCAGATATATTCACAGTTTAAGGCAAAACTGCTTGAAGACTCAACGCTCAATCAATTGATAGATATTATTAACAATACCTACAAATGTTTAGACAATACATTCTCTGTAAATAATACTGATGTTTCTTATATACAAACATACTTTTTCCAAATCAACCTATTATTAAAGAAACAATTATTAACAGTAACTGATGTCCTTTTTTACATTGGTTTGTGAATTTATCAAAGCAGTCTTCATCATAAAAATTTGAAATCAACTCCTCTGAAAGAAAGCAAGCTGCCTCTACTCTTTACAACAACTGAATGTTATATTCTTCGTACATAGTTGATTTAACAATTTGTTACCGTATATGTTTTTCTAAGTGTCTTTCAACTCTGATTACGATAACACCTAAAATTAAACTTTGTTCGAAACAATCATTTACATCTGTCAGTAGTAGTTTGGTAAAATTTGTTTATTTTATTTATTGATGTATTAATTTCTAAATATTCAGTTTTCTGTACCGTGGAATGAACCAAAGAAATTTGCAAGGACTTATTGTGTTGATACACACATGTGCTGTTTGTATATTTTACTGTATCATAATAAAATCTTAAGGTTCCACTTCATATACATTTATCAAGAATTGTAAACATTTCTACCTGCAAATCTACGGTTACATAACAATTTGTAAAAGCGGAGTCAGGAGCCTGTTGTTCAGTGGTTGTCGTTTGTTGGTGTGGTTCATAGGTATTTCTCGTTTTCGTTTTTTATATAGATTAGACCGTTGTTTTTCCCGTTTGAAAGTTTTTCCACTAATCATTTTTGGGGCCCTTTATAGCTTGCTGTTCGGTGTGAGCCAAGGCTCCGTGTTGAAGGCCGTACTTTGACCTATAATTGTTAACTTTTTATACAAAGCGACTTGGATGGAGATTTGTCTCATTGGCACTCATACCACATCTTCTTATTTATATCGACACGAAAAACACGATTTGATATCTCGAAATGATTTTCTTCCATCAAAAGATTGGCCTTTTATCTGTTTAAATCACCAAACTACGATTCATTATACCTGCCATACATTTTTATTTGGACGATGTAACACCAATCAAGCAATTCACCTAAACAATGGTAGTATTCCCTAATGTGCACTGCATCGGATAACAGATCAGTTTCAAAATAAAAGTATCCACATTTACGACAAGAAGAAGATTATTATGATGTTAGCATAGAGTGCGTAACAACCATATGTGATTGTCCATATTCCATTTGAAGCATTCGCATTCACAATGTCCTTAATCCACTCTCCAACAATATCATCTAAAATTCTTAACGATACAGGTCCTTTCCTTAATATAACGTCATGGAAGTCTTCTAAACGGAAATTAGGCCCTGAAAATAAAATTAAAAAGAAAGGTTCCTGATTTAATAAGTTGCCGAAATGTTTGTATGAACTCGTGGTTTACCAAGATATGGGCATAACTTATGTTAATTCAGTGAACTATCTTCTGTCTTACACATGTGCTCAAGGGCGTCAAACGTCTTAATAAGAGTATATTCTATGCAAAACTTAGAAAACTGACAAAATAGCATCATTTTGAGATCTTGTCATGAATATTTAGGTATGAACAAAGGTCTTCCCAAAATATCATATTTAGCTACAAAATGTATTGTACAAGAATTTTGATGTTGGTGAAATGTCTTTTTTTGGTAAAGCCTTGTTCATGAGAAAAATTTGGAAAAAAGAATTTGGAAAATGGCATTTTTTGGTCAAATATGTTCATGTCAACAAGTTTCTGATGTAATGGTGACAATACAACATACATTTCCGGTCTAGGATACCCAGGTTAAATATACACCTGTTCATTTATCAGAACCTTATTCTGAAGTATGGCAGCATTCTGCTTTTTTTTAAATTATAGGAGTCAGATAGTGACTCTCGTGTATGTAACCGCTCATCCTCTTATTCGTTTATAAAAGATTTTCTTGAACTTAGCGAACTATCTTTAATTAAAAAAAACAATTGTCATTATTGCATTTAGTAGTTAACGTGACCTGTGACAAATCAGTAAATTAAGATATTTCAAGAAAAGTTGGCTATAAAATATGAGGCAACTAACATTTCTTTTATTTGTTATTAATTTCATATCATATTCATGTTTCCAGGAAACTTCTTACAGTATTTGAAAGAATGCGTAACTCAATTTGCTGATACAAAAGAAAGCTGTTATAATACTCTAATATTGGTCACTGCTCTTTCCGTTGGATTCCATGGACCGTAAATATATGACTGTACGCTACGAGTTCTTCCTCTCATTATTATTTCAGATACTTATAGTGGGAGATATTATGCAAACAATTGTGTAAATCGTGATACAAGAATGAAATCAGGTATAAAGGTTAACTAAATGTTAAGTTAAAAAAAACAGCTGCTGGCCATAAAAAAAATCATTTTTTCATGATGGCCACCGCTCATTTTGCAAATGGTGTCAGTTCAAATCGGCTACATTTCGTGAAAAGCTGTGCTGTAGGTAAAATCCAATGTAAATTTTGATAAGTGTTATTAGTGATTGTCATGATAAAGACAAGCAATTTATATTGTGATTTAATTATTGGAAAGTGTTGTCGTATGCAGATTACTTGAAGGAGTTCATGCCAAGAAATTGCCTCCGTTGAAATTCTGCAAACACCCCATAGAGCAAATTACATGGATGATTAATGTTGACCATTTGGTATATGGCCGTGTTCTAAGCGACACGTACATGAAGGTCATAAATTAGTTTGTTGAATGAAATCAAATCTTTAGCTACTAATGAGTGCCGATGAGGTAGACCGGAATTTTTAGCGAGGATTTCTTGGCATGTTACAGATAGAAAACTCAGGGTTAAAATTCAAAGAACAGAAAAGGGGCAGTGGCAAATATTTCATCATGGTATATTTTGAACACAGAGAGAATTACCCCGGCACCCTTTGCAAAAAAAAAAAAAAACATTCTTTTTCTTATTTGTGTCTTCGGACTTTATGTTTTGAATTGTAGTTTCACTTTCCATATTCGGTATTTATTCAAATGTAAGCTCCACTTGCTAAAAATCACGTGATGCAGGAATATAGTATCTTGGAGTTAGGCTATTTCTTTCTTTTCGGGCGGGGACTCCAAGCAAACAACATGCATGTGTATAACGGCACTGCAGATTTTCGTATTAAATAAAGAAAGTTGCCGGTCCGGTACATGAATAGATTGGTTAGAAAGCAAGGTTTTAATTATATTTAGAATGGAAAGCTTAATTCGAGGGTTGAAAATAGAGAGTACAAAAAACGGGGAGAGGGGAAGTGTTCCACTGGGAATATTTTTATCCTATGAACTCTACATTTGAAAGGTTTATTATTTTTTTTATTTAATTAAAAAAGAGAAAAACAAATGTAAGACAAACTGTGAATGGTCTTTCTTCCTTTCTCCCATGCCAAGAAATTGCCTCCGTTGAAATTCTGCAAACACCCCATAGAGCAAATTACATGGATGATTAATATTGACCATTTGGTATATGGCCGTGTTCTAAGCGACACGTACATGAAGGTCATAAATTAGTTTGTTGAATGAAATCAAATCTTTAGCTACTAATGAGTGCCGTAGGAGGTAGACCGGAATTTTTAGCGAGGATTTCTTGGCATGTTCGTCATTTGATATTGTGGTCGTATGCATATTCCTTTTTTCTCTGAATAAAACTAAGATAGTAAAAGGAAGACAATCCTTTTTAATTTCACATTAAAATGGTATTTTTGTCCCATGTGCATTTTATTTATTTGTATTTTTTTTATATTCCAATGAAGATTATTTGAAAGGCAAAATCTTAAAACAGAACCGATTGATTTTATATATGCGATAGTGGCAGTTTATTAAGGATATCATTTTGCTTTCTTAAATATATCATTACCAAGAATACTTTTTGCACGTCTTCTTAACTGCTTTATTTTCATCTCTCCGATTTTATATGCACATGCCCTTCCTGGCCATGTAATAATCATATCGACCTCATTTTCGATCTGTTGTTGGTCACTTCCTGTATAGTTCCGAATGTATTCGATACCTTGTTCCCTGGACCAACTAAAAGATTAAACTCATGTTACTACTTCGCTAATTATAATCGTAAGTTAATGGCAGAAACAAATTTGCCAATTTATTAATATATAGTCTATTTAAGATACTTTTTGCATATTAAATATCATTAGGGTACATTTTTTATTCATACACCGACTTATTTTACGTAGTTTGTGTTTGTTAATGACATTGCTTTTTTACCGAATAGTATCCCATTGCTCATTTTTTTTCTTTTCTGGCTGCATTTTTTTAATGCAAAAAATAGATATTAAACCTTAGAAATATCTTATGATTTTACAAATATAGCATGGCACTGCCTTACTTTTTTCTACACATTAATTAAGCATAATTGAACCATACATTTACCCAAATGCGTGTATTCCTGTGTCCACCACTAACCTACAGGCTCTGAGTATTTCAGATATAAATCTACCAAGCCTGCAAACATAAATATCACAAATGAGTTGGCCATCCATAAGAAAGATCAAGAACGGACTTTACGAAGACGTGTGCACTTATTCACAACTGAAAATAAAAGATAGGATATTACTTCCGTACGAAGACGTGTGTACTTATTCACAACATTGAAAATAAAAGCTAGGATATCGCTCCCGTACGAAGACGTGTGCACTTATTCACAACACTGAAAATAAAAACTAGGATATAATAACCATTGGTGATAATCAAAGCTAAAACAAAAGGATTCATATCTAGCTCTGCATTGGGCATATATCGTTTATTTACTAGTAACATGCATATGTTTACTTATTCAGAGGACAAGGATCACTTATACTAAAATATGGCCTTGAGTATCAACTTTATCATGCATGATCAAAAAAGGTCACAATTTGGTTCCTAAATGGATTAATTTCAACTAACCCAAAAGACTTAATACTAAGTAAAAGAAATCTCTCCATAAAAGTAAATTATAGGCCTCAAAGTCAGCCCAATGTGATGATGTTGTCAAAAAACAATGATTTTGTTGATTTTTTTCAGACCTATATAAGCTTCTGACGTCTTTTCACTAATTACGTTGGATGTGAACTAATTGACATTTTAGTCTTGGAGAGCGTTTCATGGTTTTATATTTGTTGAAATTGGTTCTGAACAAGCTTTCAGTAACCGCGAGTACTCTTAGATCGATACTTTGTCTTTTTTTTACTTAAAACATCTGTATTGCACTTTTAGTTGCTGTTGTAACAAATTAATCCACCGCCGAATATCCCTGTGAATTAGTCACTGGATATCAAGGGACATTACACAATAAATTTATAAAAAAGCATACGTGGTTGATTTAATAAATCAAAGTAACATGATCACTTAATTTGTACTGTTTTATCCATTTATTTTTCTGAGTAATAGTTTATATTTCTGCAAGCAGATTAATCTTACAGGGTACCAGTATAACTTACTTATCGTATACTGTTGAATATAATCCCATTTCTGATCCTAAGTATTCAGCATATAATGCCCAGCCCTGAAAATTTCAAAATAATTATGCAGAAGTAATGATATTTGTACAAATAAATGTCTGCGAATCTTTCTTCTATGGATACTATTAAATTTGCTGTTAATGGCTTATATATATGAACTACATGTACATGTATCTTACACAGTACATGACTAAACTTGTACCGTTGTGTACTATGAATATGATAATGGAAGTATTCTGTTATGTCTTCGGTTATGATATCATAATCATGCATTTATGAATTGTAAAAAATAAACTCATTGACACAGAATGGAAGAATTGAATAGATGAACAGAAAAAGAAAGCAGTAACAAAGCGGATGAAGACTACGGATGAAAAGAGATATAAAGAAAATGAAAATAATATTGATTCTAGTAAAAGAATAAAGACCAAATTCATAGAGAACTGTTGCTTATTATCTTAAAGAAGTTAAAGAGATATCAAGTAAGCAATATAAAATAATAATATATAACAAGGAGTAAACACTAGATCGACCACTAACACCCGAATCCTCCGGAGAAATAATACAATAAAACAAAGACAAATAACAACGAATAGCACATACGTTGATGGTAAACTAAATAACCAAGATCCACATGACCAAGATAAAAAAAAAAAGACCAACAAGACAAATTTTGTTTCTGATGAGTTTGTCCATTGTCATTAGGTAGAAGCAATAAGACATTGGGCGACATATAGTTAAGTCATTTGTAAATTGCTGATTCCGAAGAAGGTACGTCTTTTACAAGATGTCTTATGACTTTTTATGTCGGTGAGTTGACTTTCCTGTTTCTTCTATCAATAGTAACATGTGTAAGAAATTTTACACTTAACCTGTGGTAGAAATCCGGAGGGTTAAACAGTTCCTGCTCCATTACTGGCATCCGTTGTGTTACTCATGACAGAAACAAATATAGTGATAAAAACGATGTATCTACAATTAATACATACCTCGATATATGCTGTATAAGTCGGGTAACTAAATGGTACTGTGTGAAATCCAGTGTTGAATATATTCTGTCGATAGCGTGGAAGGTTTCGGCTAAATGCATATGAATTCTGCAAAAGCAAAATATATATCAATAAAGAAGGCAGTGTTAATGGCTATTAATAAAGAAGTTATGCCTGTAAATAAAGAGAATAGTAAAATATCAAAGAACATTCACATTTTGAATTAATTAAGTTGTCAGCAGTAAGAAACATTTTTCTTATAAATAATGTACTTTTGAGTCTGATGATAATAAGAAACAACTTCTAACATCCTGTTTTGGATTCTTTCCGTTTGAAAATTTTTACACAAAAAGATCCATTTACCTGGAAATGATGACCAGGATTGGCCTCATGCAATACCAATGGAATCGTCAGTAGAGATGATCTGAAATGAAGTTTTTTTAATTATGTAACAATTTTTAGTCAAGTCTGATTTATCAAGGACAAAAATAATAAGTTACAATTGTGCTTTTCGGAAGACTACAATGTATATAGTCTAGGTTTTTAAGTGTTTAAATTTTCTTAGAGAAAAAATATGAAACACTTAAAATATAACTATATAAAAATAAGGAGATGTGGTATGATTGCTAATGAGACAACATCAAAGTTCAAATAAAGTGGATGTAAGCAATTATAGGCAATCTTACGGCCTTCAACAATAAGAAAAACCATACCATATAGTCGGTTATAAGAGTCCCAGACATGAAAAATATAAAACAATTCAATTGAGAAAACTAACGGCCTAATTTATAACAATTTACGAAAAACAAATATGACAGGCATGAACCAACGACAACCACTGAACTACAGGCTCCTGACTTGAGACTGCCACATATATAATAGGGTTGAACTAGTTTGCTGGCGCCAAACCCTCCCCCTAACCTGGGACAGTGCTGTAACAATACAACATAAGAACAAACTATAAAAATCATTTGAAAAGGGCTTGTTTACTTATTCAGTGTTATATCTAGTCTCACTATTTTTAATATATACCACCTTTGATAAGTGTTAAGTATGACGATAAATTTTCACTTTTGTTCTCGTACTAGGGACAACAAAATTATTTATTTGTAAAAATTATTTCCGTACTCCAAGTATACCTTACAACAAAACTATTTTTATTTACCTGTGTACGTTATTTTATTTGGCGGCCTTTTGTCCAAGGTTATGGTTGTCTTTCTGATATTGTTTTATATCTAACCTCCTTGTTTTATTAATTTTGTATTTACATTGTGTCATAGATCCGTTTAGTGTATGTTCACTTGTTTTGTTAATATGTCTTTTGATTGAGTTAAGCCATTTCAATTGATATTTTATAATGTGTCTTTCTATGTTGTGATGTTACACTATTGTTTCAGGTAGGGTGAAGGTTGGCGCCTATTCAAACGTTTAAACCCGCTGCATTTGTTTGCACCTGTCCTAAGTCAGGAACCTGATGTTCAGTGGTTGTCGTTTGTTGATGTGGTTCATAAGTGTTTCTCGTTTCTCGTTTTTTATATAGATGAGTCCGTTGGTTTTCCTGTTTGAATGGTTTTACACTAGTAATTTTTGGAGCTTGCTGTTCGGTGTGAGCCAAGGCTCCGTGTTGAAGGCCGTACTTTGACCTATAATGGTTTACTTTTACAAATTGTGATTTGGATGGAGAGTTGTCTTATAGGCAATCATACCACATCTTCTTATGTCCATTAACTCATCAGATCGATAAAAAGCAGAAAAAATATCAAACGAAAACACAGACCGGACGTGACAGCATATCTATACATCCAACAACAGAAAAAGACACGAAGTACAGATTTGAGATTACTCGCAGTTACTCACAGCTAGTTCTAAGCCAATAACAACTAATAAAAAAAATCATGTATCGAGAATAAATTTCAATCAGTACACATCCAAAGTTCAACTGATTTAGTGTAAAGACGTCATTAACAGTCAGAAAAACACGACCTTGTGCAATGCCAAAATATAGGTATCGACAGGTTGCAGTACCGTGAATGTGCATATGTGTATAACAACTATATTTAGTATGGTTTTAACTTACTGATAACAAAATCAATATTTATACCAATAGAAACAACATTCCAAAAACAAATTACAATGTTGAATTGGTAACTATGTAGAATAAGTTTATTTAAAGGATTAATAAGTTTACCCGGATCGTATTTAAATTCCCGTGGTCGGTAAACAACATTCCGTAAAAATAAGAATGGGCTATTCCGTTTGAAATAAGTTATCTACAGATACAGCCAAACTTGCAAACCAAATCTTTGTATCTATGGAAGAATTCAGTAAAGGTTTTAAGTAATTTGTTGTAACGAAATCCCTGACTTAATAACTTGCCAGTAATACACAAATTACGCTCATTGAAATCCAAAACGTCACCACAGACATGGGCATAGTGATAATGTGATATATAAACACCGTAAGACGGTGCCAAAGAAACATCATCGTCCAAAAAAAGGAAAATTAACAATAGGGAATGAAAAATCGTCCCTTTTGTCGAAAACATTTGTGTAGAGTTTCTAGAGTAAAACTGAAATATCTAAATCTAGGTCAGTTTTTGCTGTTAATATTTGACTTATTTAAAGTAAGTTCCTTTGAGTAAATTTCGGCAATATATTTAAATAATTCTTGATTATTTAACGAGAAATATCATCAAGATAACGGTAAATGTTGTTGAATTTATCTTTAAATCGAATTTAGACGGGTGTTTACTGAGTTTGACCATAAACTGTGATTCATAACAGTTCAGGAACAAGTCTGCTATTAAAGGGGAACAATATGTGCTCATAGGAATACCTATAACCTGTAGATACACTTTATTGCCGAAATGTATATAAATGTTGTCAAGGAGAAAATGCACGGCTTTTATCATCTCATCACACCTCCAGTAAGTATATCTAGCATATTTACCTTTCCCAATTGAGAAAAACGGCTTTATATGAGTTGCAGCAAATAAATTTGCAATCAGATTTATCAAACGACTATTTGATGAAATAGCAAAACGTTCGTTTGATAAGATTGTGTGGATGTGTAGTATAAAGAGTGTCAACCGCATCAAAAGGACCATCAAAAGCACGTGATTTATTTAAAACATCCAAAGAATTTTTTACACCCCAAAAATAGCTACTTCCACGAATGAATATCGATTCGCTTAAAAACACTAAACACTATGTAACCAATTTAATTGTTTCGTTCACCCTCTTCTAATTTATGTTTATTGCATATCATCCTTTTTTATTGCACTGCATATGAAATCCCAATATGAAGAATTAAAAGAAGTACAATGGTCATTTTTTAGGATAGGACGCATTGCTAAATCATCAACAAGTAAGTGTCTATGAGCTTGGAAGCTTTATTAAGAAATGGCAACTGGAGAAGTAAAGATTGTGGCTGTAGGTGGATGTAACAGTTGCCACAATCCCATTGAAATACTATGACGTCAACAAACGTTATAAAGATTAAAAACACGATATAATTAATATCGTAACAAAATGACAATATGGAAATATGTTCGGCCAAGAGACGCGCTACTGAATTGATTTTACAAAAGAACGTTCTAAATGGGCAACAATAGGAAATTATTAATTAGGAATATTATCTGTCTATATTCGACCATGGAAATTGGATGTACTAAAACAAATGATATTATAGTTGGGGTACTTAGTTTCCACCAATTCTTAAGTTTGGAATATGTACCTGTTTATAGCAGGATTAACATTCATATAGAAAACGTTACTTCTGTATGACCCTAGTGACAAATCTTTCCCATCAATTATTGGAAGTAATCTGAAAGAAAAGATCAAATTATATCATTGTAAACATATGCTCAATATTTTTTTTCAATCCAGATGATCATGATATTTGGGATTCTGTAAACATTTTAAAATCTTGACCGTTTTTACGATGATAAATTTAAGTATACAGATGTTGTATTCGGTCAACCTAGAATTAGATACAATATATAGGACTGTTATCATTATTACCTGGTGGCTGTCTCTTTAGCGTCTACTCAATATGCCTATCCCTATTTGTAAAATGTTTTCTGTTTACTTTCACAATGACGATGATAAATTTGCACGAAATCATGTTGCGAAAAAGTAGATAAAACAAACAAGTTTCACGAGACTAGACATTCCTTATGTATCGTCAATGTTTTTACAGCACCGCTCGAAACGCTTTTTAAGATCCTTTTGTCTCAAATAATCATAGTAAAACACAATTTTATATGATTCTATCACCATCCTTTAGTTTACTTACGCGACTTTGGGTTTCTGTAACTTGTAGAAGACTGTATCCAGTAGTGTATCATTCACAGTTTCCAAAACGTCACGTACCATCAAAAACTGTTGATCCTAGTTAGCAGCATGAACATTATCATTACATTCAACAGTAAATCAAATTGAAAAAAAAAAGAATTACAATACAACGAATTTAATTATTAGATTGAAAGAGAACCTACAAAAAAGAAGCAGATATACGCGCTGCTGTAGTGTAAGCATCTTCTACTGTTTTAGTTTCGTCTGCCGTTTGGAAATGCCATAACAAGTCATGCGTGACGGTTCAGTTTAGTCAAATTTGGCTTCTCTGTTTAGTGGAAATAATGTCTGTCCAAATTATCAAATGTCATAATATAATATAATGTACTACAATTCTTGAAACACAGGATCCCTACGTACAAAATGTATAAATCTACATCATATTGAGATATAACTTAATTCAAACATTGATGTATACTCACTGGTGAGATGCTTGTATGATATTGGACATGTTTGACAAATGTTGTTAAATCTGTGTGAAAATTCAACTGATCTTTTATCTGTAATATTCAAAGTACGATAACTTGAGACATTATAGTATTTTTTTCCAAGATAGCATTCCTGTATAAAACTACGGCCCAAATTTTCTCGACAAAAATTTTGCTTGTGAAATCTATAATCATGATGCTTCGGTCATTTTATTGTATCATATTCTCATGAAGAAAAAAAAACCATTTTAACTCAACGTAACGGTCAATTTTCAAAAGTTGGTTTTAACCTGACTTACGCTTAAGTTTGAAATAAGTTTTCTACGGGTACAGCTAAACTTTCAAAATATATTCTTGTATCTATGAAAGAATTCAGTAAAGGTTTTATGTAATTTGAAGTAACGAAATCCCTAACTTAATAATTTACTGGCAATACAGTAGATTACTTTCATTCCAATTCATAAGGTCATAACAGAATTTGACATAGCGAACGAGTTGGGTTATATAAACCCCGTAAGATGGATAGAAAGGAATACCTGCATCCAAAAAAAATATACATATTTTATGATATGTATTTATATTGACAAAAGAGTTTTTTTTTGTTTTTTGTTTTTTTTTGGGGGGGGGGGGGGGGGTAAGCAGCATTTGCATGTCTTTTAATTTGTTTAACTTTAAGATGAGACATTCCGATTTTGTGGTAGGTCGTAAAAGATGGTGAAAACAATGTTTCATCTGAAGGGGAGTCGTTAACGATAAGACGCCAATGAAAATGTTTTGAAGCTGCTACAAGAGAGGGTGGATAATATAAAAAAAAGAAGGCCATGTGGGTATGATTTCCAATGAGACAACTATCCACCATAAACCACATGACGTGGATGCAAGCAACTAAAGGTCACTGTATGGCCTTCTATATTGAGCAAAACCCATATCATGTAGTCAGCTATAAAAGGTCCCTATGTCTTAAAATGTGAGACAATCCAAACGGGAAAACCATCGGCTTGGTTTATTACATTTTCAATTAACGAAAAACAAATATGATAGAAAAAACCGATAGCGATACTCACAGTTACTGAAAGCTAGTTCAAAGCCAGTTACAGCTAATAACTAATAAAGAAATCATCTTCTCCGAGCTTATAGTATCAATCAGTACACATCCAACGGATTTAGCGTATAAAGACGCCATAAACAATCTGAGAAATTTGAAAATATAAGTAAATAGTATCGACAAGAGGTAGGTCCATAAGTTTAAATCGCTGTATAGCAATACATATTTAGTTATTAGATATAAGAAGATGTGGTATAAATGCCAACGAGATAACTCTCCATCCAAGTCAAAATTGATTAATTGATCATTTTTGGTACAATAGAAACTGAAAATCGAAATCTAGATGACAATAAACAAACAGTAACGTAAAAGAGAAACGAAAGATACCAAAGGGACATTCAAACTCATAAGTCGAAAATAAACTGACAACACCATGGCTAAAAAAGAAAAAGACCTAGAGACAAACAATAGTACACATAACAACATAGAAAAGTAAAGACTGAGCAACACGAACCCCACCAAAAACTGGGGGTGATCTCAGGTGCTCCGGAAGGGTAAGCAGATCCAGCTCCACATATGGCACCCGTCGTGCTGCTCATGTTAGTACAAACCCGGTAATAAGTCTAAATCAGTAGGTCACATTCGCGGAAAAGGGACGGGATTGTAGTTTCGACATTTGGAACATATCCGTTATCATCTGTGAAACGGATATTCCATAGCGGTCAACCAACTCGTGATGGCGTCCGTAAAATTTACGAAGGGATGATTTCAACTTCACCATTTGGAACTCTTGGTTTAATAACTTACTTGTGAGCATCAACCCTCTATCAAGGAAATCATGATAGGAAATGCAACCCCTGGAATATCGTATCAATTTGGAGATATATACTCCGTATGCAGGCGCTGCTGGAATGTTGCTACATATAAATGGAAAGTTCACAATTGGGAAGCTGAAATCATCTCTTTTGTCGTAAAGTTTTGTTTTCAACCGACCCTCATTGTCAATTTCTAGATGTAAGTCAAGATATGAGTCAGACTTAATTGTATCTGTTGTATCCTTTAACTTAAGTTCGATGGGATAGATGCGTTCAACATAGTCACCAAATTTTGAATTATTTAGTGAGAGAACATCATCTATATAGCAGAAAGTAAAGTTAAACGATACTGCTTACTTCTTTTCTTTCTTCCTAAGAAGTTCCTGTATGAAGTCAGCCTCATATGAATAAAGGAACAAGTCGGCAAGAAGAGGAGCACAGTTGGTTCCCATGTGAATGCCGATTGTTTGTTGAAAAACGTAACAAATGTGTTGTCAATCAAGAAATCAAGCATCTTCATAATGTCAGTTTCAGAGAATTTTTTGTTGAATCAGAGTGATTTTTTACAAAGTAGGATTTATCCCTCCTTAAGACAAAATATTTGTATTCTTTATGAAACAAAGCAGGACCAACTCTTTCAATTTGTCTTTTAGTTTAAAATGGGGAATACTTTTTATAGTGATTAAGATTATAACACGATGTTGACTGCTGTACCCTTTTTTTTTGACATTTTTACCTATTATATCTGTTTGTTTTGTTCACACATTGTTGTCAATAAAATGGAATTCTATGCGACTGTCATACAAGACGTGATAGGTTTATCTAGCTATAAAATCAGGTTTAATCCACCATTTTCTACATAAGGAAATACCTGTACCAAGTCAGGAATATGACAGTTGTTTTCCATTCGTTTGATGTGTTTGAGCTTTTGATTTTTCCATTTGATAAGGGACTTTCCAATTTGAATTTTCTTTGGAATTCGGTATTTTTGTTATTTTACTTTTTGTGTAAAGTGTAGAAAAGTCAAATGTTTTAATACTATTGCAAGATGAAAGAGTCTTAGATTGTATGTACTCTAAAAGATCTTTGGAATTTTTCAGTAGCCATATCTGATTCACACTACCTCTAGAATAGTTAGTTTCACAATAACTTTGAAACCCGGCATTGATTGCTGATAAAATTGATGTTAATAAATTAGAAAGATGTATCGTGGAGCACTTGGAAGACCCAGCAATATACCGTTGTTTGTAAGGACACTTATGTAGTTTAGGTATCCAATAAAGTGATGGAAGATCCAGTTCTTCATCTTTGGTTGAAATTCCAAAGGAACATAGAACAGACTTATGATTATCAATGATTCCCTCTTTGGTAAGTGTCGTGGGGGTATTTGTTGAGTTTCCAAGTAAACTGTCAATACCTAATTCATTTATCAAGCAGTAATGGGGCCAGCTGAGGACCACCTCCGGGTGCGGGATTTTCTCGCTGCGTTGAAGACCAATTGGTGGCCTTCGGCTGTTGTCTGCTTTTTGGTCGGGTTGTTGTCTCTTTGACATATTCCCCATTTACATTCTCAATTTTATGTAATGTGATTTACACACAAACACGGTGTTGTTTGGGGCATTATCTGCGGGGACAACAACATATTTTTCATGGAGGTAGGACAAGTGTTTTGCAACATTTGGGTCTTTAAAGATTGATGTAGCATGTGTATTCATAGACCCATTCAGTTTCTTAATTTTGATTTGTATCAACGACCTCACAGCCTTAGTGACAGTTGAATTGACAAGATTTGTCAGATTATATCATTAAATTAAAGTGGAAAATATTGACCTTATTGATCTGTTTTGCTATTCTTTCTACTTCATCTAAACCTGTAACATGAGCTTCATCTGGAGACATATCTGATGTAGTATGGAATTTTAGACATGCTTTGTAATATCCTATTCCATGCCTCATGGAGTGAAGACCGGGTTCTTTTCGGGTAGCTGGAATGTATTCCTGAAATAACATTGATTTTTTTTTTAATATTCATATAGTATATTAACATATGTATAAGTAATTTCATATTTTTAACTACAGAAATGAAATATACAAAATGCCCACACTGATAGATTAGTGACACCAGTACATTACATATTTCCATATCTCTTACATCGATTAAGTATATAATTCAAAATAAAGCAATTGATACAGAAACCACCGAAATCCATTTAATTACAGGCTCCTCGCTTTTTAGACATGCACATAAAGTATATGGCATGGTTAACAAATGATTGTAAGCGTTCATTACTCCGCTAACCTTGGAAGGCACATATTCTCAATACAACATCTTAACCAACTAGACAGACAACACTATGACAAAATGTAATATATTGCGTATACCAATGAGGGATTATCAAAATATCAAATCTTAACCAAAGAGACAGACAACACCAGAGCAAAATGTAAGATAATGCGTATACCAAGAAGGTAATCATGATATCCAATCTTAACCAATGAGACCGACAACACCAGATAATGCGTATACCAAGAAGGTAATCATGATATCCAATCTTAACCAATGAGACCGACAACACCAGATAATGCGTATACCAAGAAGGTAATCATGATATCCAATCTTAACCAATGAGACCAACAACACCAGATAATGCGTATACCAAGAAGGTAATCATGATATCCAATCTTAACCAATGAGACCGACAACACCAGATAATGCGTATACCAAGAAGGTAATCATGATATCCAATCTTAACCAATGAGACCGACAACACCAGATAATGCGTATACCAAGAAGGTAATCATGATATCCAATCTTAACCAATGAGACCGACAACACCAGATAATGCGTATACCAAGAAGGTAATCATGATATCCAATCTTAGCCAATGAGACCGACAACACCAGATAATGCGTATACCAAGAAGGTAACCAAAATATCCAATCTTAACCACAGGGATAGACAACACCAGGGCAAAATGTAAGATAATGTGTATACAAAGAAGGTAATCATGATATCCAATCTTAGCCAATGAGACCGACAACACCAGATAATGCGTATACCAAGAAGGTAATCATGATATCCAATCTTAACCAATGAGACCGACAACACCAGATAATGCGTATACCAAGAAGGTAATCATGATATCCAATCTTAACCAATGAGACCGACAACACCAGATAATGCGTATACCAAGAAGGTAATCATGATTTTCAACATAACTCTAGAACGGTACGCGACTCACTGCCCAATTTCGAACTCTTATGTTTTGGTTTTTAGCATTGTGTATGAGTTTCATAAAATTTGCATGATCAAACTTAAGGTAGAGTGCAGAAACGAAAATGGGACGGACGGAAAGACAGATGGACGGACGGTCAAGGGTAACACTTAATGCCCCGTCGCCTACGGCGGGGGCATACAAATGGACAAGGATGTAAAAAACTGTTTGTTGTACGAGTTTCGATTTAATATGAATGGCCAAACTGGACAGCGAAACGATACAAGAACTTCCTGTTGGAATACTTACGTTAACAAGGAAAGAGTCAAGTTCAACATAAGCTTCATAAGCCATCTGAACTTGTCTTAAAATTCCTTTGTCTTGAAACGATCTTTGAACAATACTGAAAAAGAGCAAGAAGGTGAACTGTGGTTTATTTTTATCAATAGTACCGCTTAAGTCGACGCTAGGGGCCGTCTTGACCTTGTTGTAGGGTATGAATGATTTGTTCATTGTTGAAGACCCTACATCAACTGTCAAGGTGAAGAACAGGAATAAAAGCCCTGTTCATTGATAATTTTCCATGTTTTCTATGTATTGTGTGCGATTTTGTAAGTTTACTCCATATCCTTTCATTTTCTATTGAAAAAGACATTTAGTTAATTAATATTATTTTCCATGTTGTCTTATCACATAGCGTTCAGTATTTCATGTTCGACTTGAAAATAAAAAAATCATATCAAATCAAACGAAATAGATAAGTTTCATGTGTTTATTTATTTTAGAATTCTGCAATGTATTTAATATTATTTCAACTTTGAATAATTCGTATAGTTTATATACATTAGATGGTATTTGGTAAGTACAAACATACATTTAAGGCATATTGAAGTCAAAGATATCTATACAGGAATCGGTTTTTCGTAAACTATTGTTTCAACACACCTACTATTATTCTGTGACAAAAATGGTGATAGATGTAGATTCATGTCATTCTGTAATCTTTCTATCACACTCACCTACAATTACATGTGTGTGGGTAAGTTTCGGAGTAAGTAAGTGAGTAAGTGGGTGATCATGTTGGTATGCTTTGACATGAACAGTGAAATGTGTGACGTTTTGTTTATTGCTATGTATATAGATTTCTATTTCTAACAGTTTTGAGCTACATAAGAAACTTGTGTTATCATATTATCACTCACAAGCAAGAACATCTCTGTCATATAAACAGCTGATATCTTTTTTATCCAATTGTTTAGATTCATAAATTAATGTCGGACGACGGTATATTCTTCACGGAAAACATACGATTAATTTGTTTTGGTCAGTATTCAATGTTAAAACAATATGATTAATGGTAGCAAATATTACACGCATATCCATTACGATATATAGTGCATATATACAATACTTGGTATAAAACAGACACAATGAGTCGAATTCTCAACGTGCTACACAAAACAATGGCTCATATAAAAATACAAGAAGATGTGGTATAATTGCCAATGAGACAAGTCTCCACCAGAGACCAAATAACATAGAAATTAACAACTATAGGTCACCGTACGGCCTTCGACAATGAGCAAAATCCATACCGCATAGTCAGCTCATGTATTTTTGATGATACTGCGTTGTTGGTTTCATATACCTGTGACGCCTTCTCTTTTTATTTATGTATGTCACCCTACTTTAACACAATGACATCGTATCTATACTGACCCCGAGCCGATATGTTTCTATAACTTCCAAAAATTGCTTGCTTAGCGGAGAATTAGCAAATGGCAATTGTTTGGTTTGGCAAGGCCGGGTGTTGTACCGAGAGTTATAAGGTCAAATGAAATTGGCTAGCTTAAAAAAAGTAAAACTATGATTACTCACCATTGATGACAAATAGTTTGTTCTTTTTAATCTAATAGCCTTCCTCATCAATGATATCTGTTCATAAATCTGGAATGCACATTTCAAAACAAGCATTAAGGCCTAGAGTCTTTATTATCGTTTGAGCCTTTTTTTCTCATTGATTAAAAAACTGTTGCTAAGCTCTTTATGTATGACTTGTGTTTCTGGAAGAACCCGAATAAGATATGATCTAGCCACGAAGTTTGGAAAGCCTTAAAGAATAATAATTTGTCAAAATGTCAAAAAAAACAAAACAGTTAACTCCTCTGACTTAAGCTTTGCCTAAAGGATTTGCCATATAAGTTTAAGTGCATTTACATAATACATATACAGGTAGAACGTACAATTTAAATCATGTGAGTATACAGGTAAAATGTACCCTCCTTTTCATCGTGTAAGTACACGGTAATATGTATCATTTTAATCATCTAAGCATACAGGAAAAATGTATAATTTTAATCACGTAAGTTTACGAGTAAAATGTATTATTTGAATCATGTCAATTCCGAAGCATTGCAAATGGAAGAGTAGTTCACTAAGTTCTTGATAGTCCACAATCGACTCTCTCTGTGTTGGTATAAAGCGTTTGAAAACTGTTGTGTGCGCACGACAAAAGAGTTCTCATGCATTAATGTATTAATTAAAACAACTTTTAGAAAGTTCGAATAACACAGCAGTCTAAACATATAAACTGAAGGATCTAGGCTCTGATCCTACCTGTACGGGTAAATGTTCCAAGTCTGTAGAATATATACCTTCTAGATTATTGAAAGGATTCAAGGCACCATACCTGAAAATATATTACAATAAGATATGGCTGAATAAATCAGTTAATCGTGATATTGTCTCCTAAAACGACATTATAAGCTTAAAAACCGAATAAATAAAACTGTTGGTTTTGTTTTTGTTACAATGGCAATTGGTTTTTGGTACTTTTGTACAGAGCAATTTCGGACTATCAAATATTATATACTGTGTTCTAATTTAGAACTATTTTTACGTATAGTCCCAGTGCTTAGAATGGTTTTACACTAGTAATTTTTGGGGCCCTTTATAGCTTGCTGTTCGGTGTGAGCCAAGGCTCCGTGCCGAAGACCGTACTTTGACCTATAATGGTTTACTTTTATAAATTTTGACTTGGATGGAGAGTTGTCTCATTGGCACTCATACCACATCTTCTTATATCTATTAGATATTGTATTTGTATCAGTTTATGATGCTGGTCATACAGTATATGTCAACTGCGGTTGCTTTATGCAAAGTTCAAAGGTTAGAGTATACCTGGGATTGTCAGTATGTTATGTCCCACAGTAAACTCAAGTTTAAAAGTAAAGGTGATGTTGTGTAAGAGTGTTCACACGATACCAATATACAATGGTGCAATACTATCTACAACAATCCCATTATATCGTCTTTTTAAATGGAATTATAAAGTTTAAATAGAAAAGTTTTTTTTTTAATTTTAATTAAAATATTTTGTTGTTTAAAATAATGTTCTTTAGAATAACGAGAACCCGTAAGTCTTTAATTATAAAGTCTTAGAAACTATCGCTAGTTACCAGGTAAGTGGTGAAAATATGAATATATACTCACATTACCCATCTATGACCTCTGACAAATGTTTTCACATAGTCCCGTAAGATTCGAAGATTTATTTTATCTTCTGAGGACAACGATTCTAGGTTTAATTTGTTTATTTCTGAGAGAAGTTCTTTATTCAAGTTCTGAAAATAAATAATGAATATTTTCCAATTCTATGTATAATATCCTAAAATAACGACTCTTGGCAGGTGAAAGGTATGTTTTAAATTGGTGAAATATCACGATTTTCATAAGTTTTGAATACAAATATTTATTCTACGATGTAATGCTATGATTGATCCGGTTAATCAGAATCTGACGAGGTTTTTCTTCTAAAACCATCGTCTACAAATTATCGAGAAGAACGAACTTAAGAGTGGCGAGACATTAACAGAATCCGTTCGCATGACAAGGCATTTATCAAACTGAAGAAAATATATTAACCGTAACTGCATTACATCTTCTCGTTTGTCAGTCTATGACATGACACTCCATGTTTTCATAACAAATTATCAATACAAAAAGTGAATGATTGGAAAGTGTATGAGTAGTCCGTTAGTTTAACGATACAAGGGTTGTGTAAAGGTAGGTGCTATACCATATATTTAATTCAGGGCCATTTAAAAAACTTTGGTCCTACAGTTTTCAAAACAGTAGTAGGCAAAATTTAGATTAAACAATCAATAATAATAGTTGTCCTATATACGGTTCAACATCAGTGAAAAAGCAATCTCATGCAAAATGTTTACACAGTCACTGGTAATTAAAGTTGACCTTATGAAATAAGGAGATGTGGTATGATGACCAATGAGGGGAAAATCCACCAGAGTTAAATGGATTTAAGGAACTCGTACGGCATCTTACCATTGGCAAAACATACACCGTATATTCATCTATACAAGTCATCGCATCACAAAATCTGAAACAGTTCAAACTAAAAAAACCAACGGCCTTATTTATGACGAAACAATAAACGAAAAACAAATTCGATAGACAGCAATCAAAGACATCCAATGAACTACAGGCTCTTGACTTATAGACAGCAACCAAAGACATCCCATGAACTACAGGCTCTTGACTTTAGACAGCAATCAAAGACATCCCATGAACTACAGGCTCTTGACTTTAGACAGCAATCAAAGACATCCATGAACTACAGGCTCTTGACTTTAGAAAGCAATTAAAGACATCCCATGAACTACAGGCTCTTGACTTTAGACAGCAATCAAAGACATCCCACGAACTACAGGCTCTTGACTTATAGACAGCAATCAAAGACATTCCATGAACTACAGGCTCTTGACTTATAGACAGCAATCAAAGACATCCCATGAACTACAGGCTCTTGACTTATAGACAGCAATCAAAGACATCCCATGAACTACAGGCTCTTGACTTATAGACAGCAATCAAAGACATCCCATGAACTACAGGCTCTTGACTTATAGACAGCAATCAAAGACATCCCACGAACTACAGGCTCTTGACTTATAGACAACAATCAAAGACATTCCACGACCTACAGGCCCTTGACTTGTAGACAGCAATCAAAGACATCCCACGACCTACAGGCTCTTGACTTATAGACAGCAATCAAAGACATCACATGAACTACAGGCTCTTGACTTATAGACAGCAATCAAAGACATCCCATGAACTACAGGCTCTTGACTTTAGACAGCAATTAAAGACATCCCATGAACTACAGGCTCTTGACTTTAGACAGCAATCAAAGACATCCCACGAACTACAGGCTCTTGACTTATAGACAACAATCAAAGACATTCCACGACCTACAGGCCCTTGACTTATAGACAGCAATCAAAGACATCCCACGACCTACAGGCTCTTGACTTATAGACAGCAATCAAAGACATCCCATGAACTACAGGCTCTTGACTTACAGACAGCAATCAAAGACATCCCATGAACTACAGGCTCTTGACTTATAGACAGCAATCAAAGACATCCCATGAACTACAGGCTCTTGACTTATAGACAGCAATGAAAGCCATCCCATGAACTACAGGCTCCTGACTTATAGACAGCAATCAAAGACATCCCATGAACTACAGGCTCTTGACTTATAGACAGCAATCAAAGACATCCCATGAACTACAGGCTCTTGACTTATAGACAGCAATCAAAGCCATCCCATGAACTACAGGCTCCTGACTTATAGACAGCAATCAAAGACATCCCATGAACTACAGGCTCTTGACTTATAGACAGCAATCAAAGACATCCCATGAACTACAGGCTCTTGACTTATAGACAGCAATGAAAGCCATCCCATGAACTACAGGCTCCTGACTTATAGACAGCAATCAAAGACATCCCATGAACTACAGGCTCTTGACTTATAGACAGCAATCAAAGACATCCCATGAACTACAGGCTCTTGACTTATAGACAGCAATCAAAGCCATCCCATGAACTACAGGCTCCTGACTTATAGACAGCAATCAAAGCCATCCCATGAACTACAGGCTCTTGACTTATAGACAGCAATCAAAGCCATCCCATGAACTACAGGCTCTTGACATTAGACTTAGACGGTTATGGCTAAACAGTTTATGATAATTTGAATAGCTTGCTCATAACAGCTTTAAGATTTTAGCCAAATGTTAATCTCGGGCATTTGTACTTGGTGACAGTTTTTTTTTATCCCATTAACAAACAACGTGTGCACTAAAATCACGACCGGTTATATACGTTTTTTTATATCTTACCGCTGCTAATAAAAAACTGTTCTAGAGTGTACCATCAGACTAGTAGTCCTTACTTCGAAATTGACATGACTAAAATAAAGTTATTAAAGTACTAAAGGGGCAATAAATATCCTTGGTCGAAAAGGACTACACTATTGCCAACGGAAAAAAGATGAACAGACAAACAAAGGTATGATTTGATATACTTTAGGCCTGCTCTTTGTAACTGCGATCATTCCTTGTTATTTTTCTAACGGTATATCTATATTGGTGCTGACCCAGTGAGAGTAAACCCCTTGTTTTCTTTGCTATGTCATATCGACTCTCCATACGAATATTGACCCAATGATAGTGAAATAAAGAGGTTTTACTGTACTATTGACCCAATGATAGTGAAATAAAGAGGTTTTACTGTACTATTGACCCAATGATAGTGAAATAAAGAGGTTTTACTGTACTATTGACCCAATGATAGTGAAATAAAGAGGTTTTACTGTACTTTATCACGTTATTTTTTTGTTTGCTAAATATAAAATTAGCTCCTGATGTATAATTAATTTTGTATGAAATGTACTTACCTTTCTCCTTTTGTATGTCTGTAACGTAAATGACTGACGAAGATGAAATTGGTCCTCATTGACAAAGGCGCCTGGATACTCTTCTTTTAAATGATTATAAAGTTGTTCTTCTAAGTGTTTTATTCTTTTAACAGCAGATACTGAAAATGTATTACCACAATACTGAACATCTTTAAGTCTTCATTTCGATTTATGATTGTATAGAGAGCTGAAATGACGTTTTTACTAGAAAAAGTGCAACGATTTAAACTATTTTGATTGACAATAAACGGCAGCAATCATGAAATTTAAGTGTTATTATCATCAAAAATAATATCAATATTTGTTGAAAATTTGAAGAAAAATACATTATGAATTAAGGATATTTTGGAAATATTTCAATAAAACCAGCTACATAAAACATACAAAAGACAGAAAGATGTTCCACATAAGACATGTGTGTATATACATACAAAAGACAGAAAGATGTTCCACATAAGACATGTGTGTATATACATACAGAAGACAGAAAGATGTTCCACATAAGACATGTGTGTATATAATACCACAAAAGACACGTGTGTATATAATATGTTACACTCTAAATCGCCTAGAGAGAAAAATTGGAATATTTTAGTTTTAAGAAGATGATATCAATACCAAATGTTGTAAAGGATAAGTAGCATTGAAATATACAAATGGCCGATAGATTCAAGAATAAAACTCAGTTCATTACGTTCGTTCAAAAATAAATTCCTGTCGTGTAATTATTTTTAGATAAATGAGCTTACTTTTCTCCGTTTGTATGTCTGTTTAGTTAATGACGGATGAAGATGAAAAAAATATATAATTGTTTTACCAAAGTTAACAAAGTTGACCTTAGATGAATTTCTAAATGTATTGTATATGTCCCTTCTGATCATATAGCTACTCGCCTATTTAGATATTCATACATCATTGACGTTCAAATGTTTGGGTTTCAGCGTACCTGATGAAATTAATTTAAAAAGAAACAATATCTGCATTTACAAGCAATGGGTATATACCCGTGCTGGACTGTTATCCCCCGAGGGAATCAAGCTTTCAAATGTTTCAGAAGTTTATGATGTTCGGACGCACACAATTTACAAAGAGATATTTGCATTTACCAGCTCTGAACGATAACACTGATAGTGGACTGTTAGTAGTCGATCCTTCTGTACTGACACAATTTATAACATAATTCCCATAAGTCTATGTTCATAAATCAAGAAATTATTGAGACACTAAGGTTTCAGCTTTCTGAGGCAAAGTTGACCTAAGATGAATTTGCCTTTTCTTTCTATGTTCCTTTTCGTCATAACGCTCCTCGTGTATTTTGTCATATGTGCATCTTTGACTTTACAATGTTTGGATTTGAGCGTAATAGTTTACAGAGAATATTTCATCTAAATATCTACTTCTTTCTTGTGTTGTTAAACATATTATTAAGTAGTGTTTTGTTAGGTCTTTATTGAGCTTTCAATTGCATTCCTTCCAGTTTTAAAATTGTAAAAGGAAGACGATATATCGGTTCTTTCCTTTAAAAAAATCTTGAAAAAAACTTTCTTCATTCGAGGTGATTAGAGCTTGACATTTTGTATAAAAACCTGTCGATTGTTGATATCTAAAACCTGTCTATTGTTGATATCTAAAACCTGTCTATTGTTGAAGTGGGTAAGTTGATATCTCAATATGTTTTTATTATTGTGTTGTTTGGTTTCTGTGTCATTGACGTTACGTCATCTCCTTTCAATTATAAAAGTACATTTAAGGGTGTTGTCCTCACTTCAATTTTAACTACTTTAAATTGATTATAGTGTGTGCTTAAGCCTTAATATTTGATATCCTTAATATATGCATCTGTTTCAAATTATACTTAAATTCGTTTATTAAAAAAGATTTTCCCTGATTAGTTTGAAGGTGAAGAATGATTCTACATGTAGTTTTTTGCCGATGAAAGTTTACAGCACTTAATCTTAACTAGTAAAAACAAATCGTTTAAATCAAAATGTAATTACCAACATTTATCTTTTTAGATTAAGTAACACATTTATTAAAACTTAATTAGAATAAAAACATTCTGTTGAGTGGTAATATATTTTTCATCTCAAAATATAACTTAGCTAGTTGTCAGCCGTCGCACTTCAAAAAATAATAATGATCAAAAGCGTTAACGTAACCTGTTGTTAAGAAGGACTATTGTGTAATAATGTATTTGTATGACTACTTTTACTTTTAAAAGGTCATACATATTTGGTTTCAGTCTCAGCCCTCTTCAACTTTGAAACTCTGAAACTGTGAAATAACATCATGATTGCGGTCGATCAGTATCATACTTCACCTCACGTTGGAATGTTGTCTTACATCTCCTTTTGAAGTAATACATGTTGTGTGGATTAAGAACTTTTGATGCTCGCATTTCTAGTTTTTTTGTTTAGGTCGACTTACCTGTTGTTTAAAAGTCTCTTAGATAATTACAATTGAATTTTGAGAGAGGAGGGTTATATTGGGGGTTTTTTTTTTCATTCTGAAAATTTTTTTTGTACCACGCAAGCATCATATCATATAAATTTTTTTTTTGACGCGTGAAGCGCGGAATATTCAAGGAACATTAATTTTAATGGCAAAGACTCTCAATGAGAAATTTGTTGTTTTCCTGATCAAAATATGTTTTTTCTCTAAAATTGGGATTTTTTTTAACTGCATAAAGGCCAAAATAAAAAATTAGCATAACTTAGTAGACCTTTTGAATAATATCAACAGATTTATGATGGAATTTTCTCTCCTTCATCCAGCAAGATATGTCTTCACTGTGGACCTTGATATTAAAGTACGTTTTATAAAACTCATTCAAAATAGACACTATCACAGATCTGCCATCAATACATAATTCTCTAAAGAATGCCGGAAAATAAATTAAAGTAGTCATTTCCAACGTTCAGTGCATTTTCAAATGATGTGAAACAGTATAATGGAATTATTATTTTTAAGAAAACTTTCTTGATTATATGAACAGATACTTAATACTCAGAGACTTAATATACATGCAACAATAAGAAGCTAACGAAAAAGTACTTATGACCTTTCGAGCTAAAGATTTCTTGGACACACTTTTAACAATTAAATTATAACTTCATAATTTTGTATTTATTTTCAGATATAAGTGTGCTAATGCAATTGTTCAAGAATAAAGCTGTGTGTAGTATATGCAGAATGTTCGATAATATTTATGTGTAATGTCAATATTAATTTGTCACAGATGGTGTTTTATAGAAACAATAAGAAATCTACTTTAGCATTGTTAATGAGATCCGACAATAAAATGACAGGTGTGACAGAAACTCGACTTTACTCGGTTCCCATTATGTTGATGTGTCTTCAAGTATTATATTAAAAAAAAATTCATGCATATAAAGTCGTTTTTTGTGTTTTATATTAACAGTTTTTCTTTTAATTTTACCCCTGCTATAAATGAAGCTCTGAGGTTGATGAAATATAAAACTATCAAAAATTAAAACTACTTACCGTGTTTAGATGCAAGAATTCTAGGGAAAACAGTAAAAACTCCAACAAAAAAGAGACTAGCTGTAAATAATATCAAATAAGTCATACCGATCTATCACAAATTGATAACTATAAAACTAACTTCATCATGTTTAAGTGAGCTTCATCACTTTCATGTTAATAACCCCTTCCGTAAACGTCAAGAATTCATTCATTAGAAATAACGTGTTATTTCACTGCTCAACTATTCGAGCAGAGATAATTCATCATTTTAAAGATGCCGTCGTAATCTAAAGAACAATGACTTTATGAGAAAGGCGCATGTTATTATTTATTATAATTTTGCATCTGTTTTGCGTTTATGTGCAGTAATGTACGTTCTATACATATTGTTTTCTATTCTTCCTAAATTGTTTGGCAAATGTTACAAGCAGTCTAATTGTTCCATTAATTGACAAGAAAATCAATGTCAGTTTGTGTGAATTCAGAAGATGTCACTTAATATAGAATTCAAATGTTCTATTATACCAATTAAAATCATTTTGCCTAATACCTCAAACCGATATTTTTAATGTGAAAAAGAAATAAAGGGGCAATCAAAAGTCATAATGCGACTTGAAAGACTTTCAACACCTAGGTTAAACGAACAGACGGACAGACAACAACTATGACCAGAGAGACAGACAAACGACAAACATGCAAAAATAAGTTCACAAAACACCACACAGAAAATTAATGTTCGAGCAGTTCAAACCCGAAATCAAAGGTCAGCAGTTTAACTGATGTCATTCCAGCATATTTAAGTCGCATCTAAAAGGAATGTTGTAAAGGTATGTAAGTATAGAAGTGTTATAATTTATCAGCAAACAGTTCTGGTTTTGGCAATTAAACCAGAAAAAGGCTAAATCGTAGGGGTATTCATTGCCATACAAAAACAGTGATAATGTATCAGATAAGATAAGATAAGATAAGATATTTTATTTCCAATTATGGGCCCCAAAGGGCATAAACATTACAACATCAATAATTTTTTCATAATACAATACAAACAATGAGATAAAAAAAAAAAAAGTTAAACGAGAACTATTTAAGTTCTTAAAGAATACGTAGATAAAGAATCTATAGTATGTTGTTTTTTTTTAATACTAATGCATTTTATTGCAAGTGTGGTTGATATAGATAACAAACAAGCAGCCCAAAAAGAAAAAAAGAAAAATAGATATCCACATATGTATAGTACACAAAAAGTTGGATCAATTAAATATATAATAATTAGCCAAAAAGAAAGTAGAAATTAAACATGTCCATGACTCATCCTGTGTCAGCAGCAAATAGGAAAGCATTATGGTTTCCTAAAGGCAGCTGACACCAGGGGGCGATACCTTATGGGCCATAGGCATGTAAAATGTGTGTAAATGTCTCTTTCCTACCTGTATCAAAAGCAAACAAGGAAGCATCATAGGTAACTTGAATGCAGTTGATACCAGGGGACGATGCCTCAAGGATATAAGAGAACATTTGAATAAATAATATATCTTAACAATTATTTTTTTTTTAATCGGCTAGTATGTTTGTGATATTCAGATGAATATAATTTTCTATGTCCAATCAAATGTATATACACACATAGATTTCCTTTAACTAATCTTCACTAAGGAAGATGTTTGTATATAAAATTACATATTATTTTAAGTAACTCAACATTTTCTACACTAAATAACCAGATAATTTTGCTTTGACTGTTCATATGATTAAAATAAGAATTATATTGTGCAATACTAGCTAACATACAATTTCTATCATCCTCAAATTTGTTACAATCAAATAGAAAATGAGCCTCATCTTCGACAGTATTGGAAGAACATTTATTACATATTCTGTTAATTCGGGGAATACCCTGATATCTACCTAATTCTATTTGTAATCTATGAGAAGATACACGTAATTTAGTAAAACTTCTTCTAAGTTCAAAATTCTTGATCAATGTTAGATATTTTTCAAAACCAAAATTTGTTTTATATAAAAGGTAGGTTTTCAGTTTACTGTCTGAAAATTTATCTATTTGTTTTTTCCAACAGCTAATAAACAATATTGATAGCTTGGTTTGTATATATTTCTTAAATTTGTATAAGGATTCACAAAATGGAGCATTTATGGCATTTGTATAGTCAATACCAAGTATTTTAAAAACAACATTTATTGAACCATACCATGATGTTATATTCATGTGATGTAGTGTCTTTGATTGTGTATATGCCTCTTTTAATAGAGGAAAATTATTACCTAAATTCTTTAATCTATACCAGTACAATAACATTCCTTTTATAATATTAAAATATATTGGAAATCTTCCAAGTTCAGATAACACTGCAGCATTTGTTGTTTTCTTGTGTACCCCAAGTATAAATTTACAAAATTTTATATGAAGTTTCTCACAGGGTAAACCTGAATATAATTTTTCAAAAGATATATCTTCCTTCTTACATTTAGAGGAAAGAGAATTAAACATCCCCCATATTTCGCTACCATATAATAAAATAGGTTTTACAGTGTGGTCAAAAACATGAATACTTGTTTTTACATCAGGATTAAGTGATAAAAGATCTTTCCTTAATTTGAAATGAGCTTTCAGGGATTTTTTGTATAGTTCATTTTGAGCATAACTGAATGAACCAGATGAGCTTAAATATAAACCTAGGTATTTGTATTTTGAAACACATTCCAGATTTATATTCTGAAATGTGAATATCTGTTTTACATGTCTGCCTGCCTTGTTGAAAATCAGCACCTTTGTCTTATTAGTATTCACATTGAGACACCAATCTTTGCAAAATTTATCAAGCATTCCCAGCTTTTCTCGTAGTCCTTCAGCTGATGTAGATAATAAAACAATATCATCAGCATACATTAAACAATGTAGATCTTTGTCATTGACATTAACTGGGTCTCTAGTATCTGACAAATATCTGGGCAAATCATTTATGAATATCTTGAATAAATTCGGACTGAGGTTGTCACCTTGTTTGACTCCAATATCTAATGGGAAAAAATCACTTACTTGATTTTGAATTTTGACACATGATTTGCTAATTTCATACATACTTTTAATAATGTTATAAAAATAAGACCCAGCCCCAATATCTAGTAGTTTAATCTTGATCCCTGTATGTATAACAGTATCAAAAGCCTTCTGAAAATCAACAAAACAGGCAAACAGTCTACCTTCTTTTGAATTACAGTATTTGTTAATAAGACAGTTTAAAATAAACATATGATCTGCAGTTCTGGCTTTCCTTGTGAATCCAATTTGACTATCATGTATAATATTATGTTCCTGAAGAAATTTGTCCAGTCTTAGACTTAATATTCTATTAAAAAGCTTTCCAATTGCACTTGTTATTGTTATTCCTCTATAATTGTTAGGGTCACTTGTATCGTTGCTTTTAAAAATTGGTGTAATATAACCTTCAGCCCAAGATGTTGGGTATATACCTGAAGACAGACAAGTATTAAACATCTGTTGAAAACTTTTTAAAAGGAAAGTCTGTCCATTCTTTATCATATTATTACTAATGTTATCCAAGCCTGATGATTTATTGCATTTTAAGTGTGAAATGGCTTTGGATATTTCAGACTCAGTGATAACGGAGTCCAACTCGTTGAAACATTTTGAGTTTTCTAACTGTTTCAGTTTTTCACATAGCTCTGTATATCTACTTTGAAATTCACCTTTCAGTTGTGACAACTTTTGGAAATGTGATATCAAAGTTGATGGTTGTACTCCACATTTTTTTTTAGTTTCATTTTTTTCCTGTAGTTCATTAATTAAGTTCCAATACAGTTTTGGATTCTCTTCGTGCAAGGAGTCCAGCTGACTAATCAATGATTGTTTGTATTGTTTGTATTTATATTTCCTTAGTTTGGAGTATTCACGATTCAGTTTATAAAAATGATTTTTGATAATTGGATCATATGGAAATCTTGAATAAATTTTTCCATAATTAAGCAAGTTAGTTCGAGCTTGTTGTAAACTTGCGTCAAACCACTTTTTGTTTTTTTGTTTGTTTGTGTGTTTTTTTAAAGGTCGTTTAAGTGATAGATTTGCTGCTGATAAAAAGATGTTTGAAAGTTTTGATGATGCTTCATCTACTGATGTCTGAGTAAATTGAATTGTGCTGTTGTTGAATTCTAGTATGTAGTTTTGTAGTGTATCTGAAGAAAGTGTTTCTTGAAATTTTATTGCTGAACAGTCAGTCCAGATATAATTAGGTGTCATATTTTTCAACTGGATTGGAATATCATTTTCTCCAGGAACACAATATTTTGCAGATAATTCCCACTCAAGTTTACAATGACAATCAGATAATGTGGGAATAAATCTGGATACTTTAAAATACAGTACATTTTCAAGAATTTCTTCCGACACAGCAACATAATCAACCACACTTGCACCATTGGGGGTATAGCAAGTAAAATTACCAAATGTATCACCAAGAACTCTGCCATTTAAAATTCTTATTTGTTTACTAATGCAAAAATCCAAAACTTCTTTGCCTCTTTGATCAATTTTTTGGTCTCGACTTTTTCTTGTCATAATGTTTTTGTCAGTAGGGTATGTAACAAAAATTGGAGTAAATTTTGAATCATCGTTTACTATAAAGTCATTTTCAGAGCCTATTCTGGCATTAAAATCTCCACATAACAAAATTTCACCCATTTTATTATACTGAAAGATATCTTTTTCTATGCATTCAAAAACATCAGAAGAGAGTTCTTGGGTATATTTAGACGTAACAGGGGGGTTGTACAGTACACAAATAAATAGGTCACTTTTAAATCCAAAAAAGGATTTTTCTAATTTAATCCATTGATAATCTGGATTACTGTTAATCAATATTTTGACATGAGGTTTAACGTGACTTTTCTGTAGAATTGCTATACCCCCAAAATGACGGTTATTATTTGATAATTTTCTACAATTTGTATCAATTTGATGATAGAAAAAAATAGACGCAATTAAGATTTCATTCCAAATCCATAATTATGAAACATCTTCTTCTGAAAGTGTTACAGCACCAGAAAACATTGAGATGATGACGATATTCCTGCTTTATTAAAACAAATTGCTCTTATTTTAGAACAAAAGAAAAGATAAAATCATCATGTATTACTTCTATGTAAATCAGATGTAGTCTTCTCATATTTCCAGGCTGGCGCCCCTCACATATGAGAAGCCTACATCTTATACAAAACATCGCAACTATAGGAAAAACATAATACATATGCCTTAGTACCAGTTGGTATATAAGGCAGCTAACACGTGTGTTTGTTTTATC